CTAGTTTTAAAAAGGATAAAATTGGAATTTCAATTATCTTTATTGCATTTTTATCTGACTAGTTGCTTAAATGTTTAATTGGTTTATTTGTTTTAAACTGTTAGTTTTGTATTGGAATTGCCTTATTTGGTTAAGTATATTTTAATTAAATTAATTGTATTTTTGGTTGCTATGCTGACTTTAATTGTATTATTAATTATTTTCTTGCATGGACGTAACTGTTTAATTAAATTAAGTGTATGAATTATCTTTTAGGGTTTTAGTATTTTTATGGGCTTGCCGACATAATTAATTAGGATTTACGTTTAGGGTTTTTTATTGACTTAGGATTTGGAGTTAGTTATAAGTATATAACTTATACGTCCCTAGGGTTTGATAACCCTATTCACGGCACAGTGAAAATACAGAGAGTTTGGAGAGAACTGAATGAGAGAAAAACATAACAAAACTTAGAAGGAGAACAGAGAGGGCCAAGGGAGAGTTGTGGTGGATTAAACCAAAACCATAGGAGGCTTGAAGGTGGTCAGTGGTTGCCGGAAATTAGGAAGACGACAACACAGTTTTGAGACCAAAGTTACAGGCAAGTTCTTCTACTTTCTCCTTCCCTTTGGCTTGTGTTTTGTGCACCTAGGTAGTCTCTAGGGTTAAATAAATTATAAACTAAGACTTACAAGTTAATTGTATGTTATATTGATAATCTGTTTGGGTTGTAATCGAATCTATTACAGAATTCGTACATATCTGTTTTCAGTTTTGTTGGAAAAGCTTGTTAGTCCGGTTGTAATTTTAGACTCTAGGGAATTTGTTGAGTCTTAAATGGATCTTGCATGATTATTATATGTCAAATTTCATTATCTGTTGTCTGAGAAATTGGTCTGAAATAAATTCGTTCTTGTCTGTTCCAGTTTTTCTCTTTAAGCATGCTAGTAAATTGCTTAGTTAAATCTCTGTATTTGATTTCAAATTGTTGTTCTAAAACCATTGGGAGTCTGTTTTGGTACTAATAAGACCTTAGGATAAGTTTTAGAAATCAACTGAAGGGTGGACATAGGCCGGAGAAGAAGCAGAAGGACGAGGACGGAGCAAATGGGGACTGGAAGCTCTCAAATGAGGCGAGAGCCGGGTCCATGGAAGTGGGAGCCGGCTCCCACACTCATTGAGCCGGCTCTAAAGTCCATAGAGCCGGCTCCAGGCTCAAAGAGAGCCTGCTCTTGGAATTTAGAGCAGGCTCTTTCAAATAGTGGTTTTCTGAATTTTTTTTTTACGATCTGTTTGTAACTGTTGGAGCATGGGAACTGTTTGGATGGGTCTGGGTCTACACAGAGGTATTAAGAAATTTATTTTGGGTGTAATTAAGACCTTAAGTTGATTAAAGTTGACCTCTAAGTCAATGGGACAAACAGTATAAATTAAGGAATTTTCTATGCTGTTAGCGGATGGAAGAGAAATAAATTGCTTAATTAAATTTCAGTAATTGTTATGGGATTTAGTAAGTTATTAAAGTTTGTTTTATATGCATGGTGAAGTATTTTAATTAACCAATTGGACTTGTGGCATAGTGTATGGCTCCGTGCTAAAAGATGAAACAGAATACGAGTATACAATTTAGTACGCTGTTATCGGACGAAAGGAACTAAATTGCCTAGATTAGTTTAGCAATTGATTGGACTATACTATGATTATAAAAATTATTTGTAATGCATGATAGAGTCATTGATATATTAGATGTGATCTACGCATGCTTTGGATGCTAGTTGTTGAACCTTTAAACCGTTTCCTGCAAATACATGGTTTAACTCTTGGATTTAAATTGCTGAAACTATAAATAGTCTCCTGCAAGTATTTGGGATGGTTTTGGATTGTAAATTGCTAAACTGTTAATTATGTGTTGTAATTTACATGGGTTGGATGTTAATTGTGGAATCTTATATATTATTCTACAATTAATTGGATTATGGTTTTGAACTGTAATTGTTGTGGCATTGTATAAACTATTCTGCAATGATATGAATAATTGGTTTTGGACTGTAAATTACTTGCTTATTATTTATATGTTGTAATTTACATGGATATAGAGGATTGTATGTACCAGTATAGGACGGTAACATACTAGGTATGGTTTAGCTCAAAACACTCATTCCTACCTTATGGATTTTAATTAGGGAACAGTTTTACCTGTTCAATCAATTATATGGATTTTGTGGATTGTATGCACCGGTATGGGACGGTGGCATACTAGGGACAGACTGATTCAAAATAACTCAGTTCTACCTATTTTAGATTAAGGGTTCGAATTATAAAAACATAATTCTCCTTATATTTAAGTCTGTGCAGCTGAATAAGCTGAACGACTTATTGGATTTCCTATGGATGGATATGAATGGATTTTAAATATATGTTTATGGTACCACGAGATGAGCTTGAGTCTCAGACTCATTGGTTAGGGTGCGTATATGCAATGGATGCGTAGCTGGCTATAGTAGGTTGAGGTGTACCCTGTTAGGTCTAGGTACTCATGCCCACCTTTGGGTGCGTTTTCGCATATTGCCTTCTATTCAGGTTAAGACCCCTACTGTAGTCCAGTGAATGTCCCTTAGTGTGGATATATCTATATGTATGGACTAGATAGCTATTGTTGAGATATCTAGGGTGTATCTGCGTATCGAGTCACTGTTTGGATTGTAGTTAGAGAAGAATTTGCATGTGGGCCTGACCCACTCTTATTTTTACAGGTGTTCGTTAGTTCCAGACTTAGAGCTGGATCGTGCTGAGCAGATACAATCATTCACTTCACCGATGACCAGGATTTTATTTCATGTATTAGACTTGGGTTTCATTTCCAGTCTTTTGAGTTCAGTGAGATTTTTAGGGGTCCACTAGATGGATTCCCGAGTTGTAATAGAAGTGGAGAAGTTAAATATATCTAGAATAATTCTTTATTAATAAAATTTTATTCTGAGATTTTTGGATTATTATTCTAGTTTCTTTTCAGCAATTATTTATTCCTGTTTCCTTAATTGTATTCTGTGTTCGATTATTACTAATTGGTTTGATATCCTCGGGTAATCGGGCGTGGGCCTGGCCAACCCGCATCCGAAAATCCGGGGGTATCACGCTTCCCCTGTTTTATTATCTGTTTCACCTCTAGCGACTTCCAGTTACCTTATTCCTCCATTCTAAGGTCCCTATTGGTCAGTACTAAGTCTCAGTGTATTCCAGAAACAATATTTAAATCCATTATGCTTTGATAACATTAATTAAAACTAATATTTTTGCAAGAAAACTCAAGATTCAACAATTCAAACATCATTAACAAACATATTGTTTTAACTAAGTTTAATATGCATGGAAGATAAATTTAATCAAGTTTAACATGCATCAAAGATGAACTTAACATTCAATTTCTCCTGGAATTGTTTAGGAATGTAAAGAACATGAAACCTAAGGGAGAGAGTTAGATATAGAACCTGCCTTTGAGATTTTGGGTTGAAATTTCAATGCCGTCTTCCTAAATTTTCTGGAGATCCTTGACTGCCGTACGCCTCCTACTACTTTAGTTTAACCCCCAAGCAATCATTTCCCTCCTCCTTGGTCCGACCTTTAATCTATGGCCGAAACCCAAACTGGTTCTCTCTATTTTTCTCTTAAACCTCACTGATCGTGAATAGGGTTTTTACCCTAGACAGACAATATAACGATATATTTATAGGCAATACTAATCTAACCTAATTCGAATTATACTAAGAGAAGGAAAAAAAAATATAATTAAGATAAATATCTCTAAGTCTGCTATCCCACAACGTCCATTATTAATAATTAATAATTAAATTAACCTTATATACATATATACCCATATATATATACATATGTATAACCATCCATGGGTATTAACCGTACCCATTTAATCTCTTATCCAAGTAATCCATACTATCCAAGCCCATCCTTAAATAAATTTTAAAATAAAATAAATCTTTAAATTCTACCAATTAAACTACACATCATTAAATAACAGATGATTCAATTAAAGCAAAATTACATTTAACCACTTAATTAAAAATAAACATATAAGCAAATCATCAATTAAACAATTAAATAATTAAATAAATACTAAATAATCAAATAATGAATTTAAAAATGCACTTAAATAATTAATTAAATACCGAGATTATCCTTTTAAAATTAGGGGTATTATAGAGAGTAGGAGAGACTAATGTAATACCAAATTTACCCTTGATTTTAGGGCGCCAAAATTCACCGCAACCTTTGCGTCGAGGAGAGGAACGGAGGCCACACTAGTTCTGGGTCTGGTGCTAGACGGCCAAGAGTTGATGCTGAGGGCAGAATTGTAGTCGTCAGAGAAAAAGAGGCGCGTGTGCATGCGAAAGACACGTTAGATCTACGCGCGTGACGGCGAGTGGGCCGCGAATTTCAATCCGGCGATGAATCAAGCATGAGAAATAGTTACATGGATGGAGCTAATTAAATTTTGTGGCTGATCAAACCTCCTCACCGCTTATGGAAGCCGTCAGACCTAACTACTTCGCTATTGGTTCTGAAATATATGGGTTTTGAACTTCTGATTCTTATAGATTTTGTAGTTTGCAGTTGGTAAGAGAGAGGGCAAGTTCAGAGTTGAGAACGAGAATAGAGACAGAGGCGATTAGAAAGGCTGAAATTATTTGCCCAAAAAATATATTTGTTTTTCTGGTGGCCCATCATTCACGGGCCTATAAATTTTGAAGCCAATAAATTTATTTTTTAAAATATAAAAAGATATAATAATAAATTTACGAAAATAATTTATTTTTCATTCTTTTTCCAAACACGATTATTATTATTATTATTTTTTCATTAATCAATCAAATACGGTTAGGAATTAAAATTACCTTTCCATTTCCATTTCCATTTCCATTTCCATTTCCTTTTTCTTTCTCTTTCTCTTTCTCTTTCTCTCGTAATTACTGTTATTATTCTTTTCTTTGCCACCGTACCAAACATAACCTTAGGGTATATACGGGTGATGTGCTACGATTGAGGGTTTAACGTTGCTGGAGCAGTAGATAGGTTGCTCCACACTGCCACCGCCTCTCTCTCTCTCTATTTCTTCCTCTGCATCTTCCCCTTTCCTTCTTTTTCCTACGTATTTCTGCCAAAATAGTATTTGAAACGTTCATTTGAGGACGAGTACGACCCACCAATGTCCGGCAAAAGGGTTACGCTTCTCAGCATCAACACTCTCACAACTTTATCCAAGGTACGCAATTCGCGCAATTCTTTGGATTTCAATAAATTCATTGCTTTTGCGAATAATCTCAGTACTGCAACTGAAAGATCATATTTTCAAACTCCTGATGGGTTCAATGGAGAAAATCATTTAGAATATCAACAAAACCCTAGTGGGTTTTACGCTGAACAGCAAAATCATATAGAATCTGAAAAGAAACCAAATGGGCATGGTCAAGATTGGGGTTACAGAAAAAATAGTATGAATTCTCAGCAAAACCCAGATGGGTTTTATGGAGGACATTCAACGGGGTTGAGGCAAAACGCTAGTGGGGTTCATGGGCATAACCTTAGAAATGAATTACAGCAGAACCCTGTTGGACAAAGTGGGAATTTTTCTAAGCAAAACCCTAGAAATGAATCTCAGCAGAAGCCAATTGGGGAAAATGGTAACTATTACACTAACGATCAGCAAACTCCAAATGGGTTATCTGGAGGAAATTTGCAGCCGCATCCATATGGGTCTAACAGAGAAGGCCAAGAAAAAATTCAGCAGAATGCAAATGGGTTTTATGGAGGAAATTCAACTGGGTTGAGGCAAAACGCTAGTGGGGTTCATTGGCAAAACCTTAGAAATGAATCACAGCAGAACCCTGTTGGACAAAGTGGAAATTTTTCTAAGCAAAACGCTAGAAATGAATTTCAGCAGAAGCCAATTGGGGAAAATGGTAACTATTACACTAGTGATCAGCAAAATCCAATTGAGAAGAGTAGCAATATTAATGGTTATTATGGTACGAGGCCAGTACAGCAAACTCCAAATGGGTTATCTGGAGGAAATTTGCAGCCGCATCCATATGGGTCTAACAGAGAAGGCCAAGAAAAAATTCAGCAGAATGCAAATGGGTTTTATGGACAGAGCATCTCAAAGTTTCAGGGAACCATAAACGAGCATTATGGACAAAGTACTGGACAATTTCAACATAATCCAAGTAATTATTACGGACATAGCACTGGAGTGCCTCAGCAGTATCCAAGTAACTATTACACTTGTAATACTGGAGCCGCACAGCAAAACCCTGGCAACTACTACATGGGATACCCTGAAAAAACTCAACAAATGCCAAGTAATTACCACACGGGCAACACCGAAGCACAACATTACCAGCAAAGCTCATGTGGATTTAATGGAGTAATGCGGAGTCCAGATGGGTTTTCGAGGGAAAATGTTGGAGAATATCAACAGAACCCAATTGGAAATTTTAATGCTAATGCTGGACAATATCAGCAGAATTCGTATGATTCTCAGAATGGGGTGGTTGGTCCTCATTTGTCAAGTAAGTCTAAACCTAATGGAGAATCTGCTGAAGCCACTGAAAGTGGCCAATATATTCGCACTATTGAGGAGTTGGATGGCTTCTCTAAGGAGGGCAAAGTGAAGGAAGCTGTGGAACTTTTGAAATTACTAGAGAAGCAACACATCCCAGTGGATTTACCCCGATATTTGACATTGATGAAGGCCTGTGGGGAAGCTAAAGCTCTGCAAGAGGCAAAATTTATTCATGAGCATCTCATGAGATCAGTGTCTCCTCTCCAAGTCCACACTTGCAATAAGATCGTGGAGATGTATGCAGAATGTGGTTCCATGGATGATGCATATATGGTGTTCCAAAAAATGCAGCAGCGCAATTTGACTTCTTGGGATACCATGATCACTTGGCTTGTTAGGCATGGTCAAGGAGAGGATGCCATTGACTTGTTCACTCAATTTAAGGAAACAGGACTGAAACCTGATGGTCAAATATTTATTGCGGTTTTCTCTGCTTGCAGTGCCCTGGGTGATATCAACGAGGGAATGTTGCACTTTGAATCAATGAGCAAGAATTATGGCATTGTTCCTTCCATGGAGCATTATGCGAGTGTAGTGGACATGCTGGGAAGTACAGGGTATTTGGATGAAGCTGTAGAGTTCATTGAAAATATGCCAATAGAGCCAAGTGTGGATGTCTGGGAAACCTTGATGAATTTATCTAGAGTTCATGGCAACATCAAACTTGGAGATCGTTGTGCTGAGCTTGTTGAGATCCTAGACCCTTCTCGTTTGAACAAGCAATCAAAGGCAGGCCTCATAACAGATAAAGCTTCAAACCTTGCAAAGGAGAAGGAGAAGAAGAAACTGGCAGGTAAAAATCTTCTAGAGATTAGGAGTAAGATCCATGAATATAGGGCAGGAGATAAATCTCACCCTGATTCAGACAAGATCTATGCACTGCTTAGGGGGATGAAGGGACAGATGAAAGAGGCTGGTTATGTGCCAGAGACTAGATTTGTGCTCCATGACATAGACCAAGAAGGTAAGGAGGAGGCGCTTCTTGCACATAGCGAGAGGCTTGCTGTTGCTCAAGGTCTCATTAGTAGCTCAGCTCGTTCACAAATTCGGATAATCAAGAATCTTCGTGTTTGTGGTGATTGTCATAGTGCACTCAAGATCATCTCAAAGCTGGTTGGCAGGGAACTCATTATTCGAGATGCTAAAAGGTTTCACCATTTCAAAGACGGGCTATGCTCTTGCCGTGATTACTGGTGATAGTGATCAATTTTGAGGTACTATTTATCATATTATTGAAAAAAAAAAAAAGTGATCAATTTTGAGGTACTATTTATCAGATGATTGGAAAAAATAAATAAAACTTATGTGAAATTCACCATAATTTTTGTGATTTAACGGTTAATTTTGATCTATATGTATTTTGACAATATAAGTTTTATATTGTTGTGGATTGGCTTTCCTTCTCTTTCTTCCTATGTTTTTTTCAGTTGAGTTTATCATTGTGTGCTCATCAAGTGTGATTTTTTTTAAATTCAAAGTTATTCGTATGGTTTAGTTTCATATGGTTTCAAATTTAGATGTGCTTGATTGTTGTCTAGACAATTTAAGTGGTACAGAAAATATTTTTCAAGTTCTTACCAATATCTTGGACGCTTTGTAAAGAATTTGTGTGACTTCATTGGTCCTTAGTAAGGGGAATCTAGATGCAAGTATAATAAAGTCACTAATGTCGCAATCTTGGAGTTACCAACCAAGTTTTCTGAAGCATTGACTCGAGAATTCTTATCGGAAGCATTTATTCAAATGGAGAGTGATCGAACACTTTGTGTTTATCATGGTGTCAATTACAAGTACTATAATCTGTAAATGAAAAATTAGGGAGTTGGAAACAAACCCAAGTCTTGGTGGGGTAGTGGGGTATGTTTCTGTTTTCACTATTTTGGAAACAGACATAACTGCTGATGGTAAATGAAGAACTGAGGAAGACAAGTATTATGTCCATTACAGTTATTTTCTCTTTCAAGTTATCACAATTTTGATGTTTTCCTCCACAGATTTTAAAAATTATCAGAAGGAAAACCTCAGTTATTATTTTTTAAGATATATGTGGTCCGTTTAGCATTTTGGTATGAGAAAACAAAATAATACTTGGGTGAAGAAGATGATTTGATTGAAGAAACTTTAATAGTAGGTTTTCAATTTAATAGTAAATAGTGTTTGATTAGATGAATTTTGTGAAATTTGAGTTTTGAGCATGGTTTGCCATGTATCAACAGAAAAGAGATGTTCTTCATTATTTAGAACTACTAAATCTTTGGTTGGTCAAAACTGAATGCATTCAGATTCAGATTTAAATTGAAGTGTAAATGGTTGAATAGACTGGTGAAGGCATGCAATTAAGTGTAAATGCTGGCTATGTAAATATTGATTCTGCGATCGGTAGCTCTTAAGCATATCATTCCAAGCTTATCAGAAAATAAACGAAGTACTAAATAATAAACAAAGCATATCAGAAACAGAGGAAACATAATTATATTATCTAAATTATAAAGAATGTAACAAGAAAATAAAACAAACAGATTCCCACGCTGTTGAATATAAATGTAGAGTCCAAGGTTGACTTGTCTTCTGTATTGTATTTAAATGTACAAAAAGAAGGTTGGAAGGAATGAAATGGAATGGTGGTGCTATGGGCTGGCATTAGATAAGATTAGAGAGATCATGTTAGCTCTTCCATCTTTATGAAGAGATACAATCCCAAATGTTGAGTACTTCCTTCAAAGTGACAGTCATTTATTTAAATGCGGTTTTGGAAAAATGTAACAATCTTCACAGGACTCAAAAAACGTAACAATCTTCACAGTAATAGTTTGTCTACTTAAATAGGGAGGCTATTATTTTGCATCTGTTTCCAAACTTCTAATTGAGCCTAAGTGGCTAGTCTTAAAAGGTGACAAGCCCTGCTAAAGATTTATGAAGTTGAGCTCTTGTAAGCCATCACCTTCATTCTATATGCTCTGTTTAGCACTCCTGTGAACAGCCCAACTACTGCCTAGCTTGTTGACTTGCCCATGTGAGTGGGTAATGCCTAAACCCTTTCTGACTGGCTAGTACAACTTAAAAAAAATTATTTTCGAGTATACAAATATGGATACAATTCTAGTCTCTCAAACAAATTAGAAACTAATGGCTTATGTCAAAGCATTATTACTTACCAAAATAAAAAATAAAAATAAAAAACTCAAATCATATAAAAAAAATGTTTTGTTCTCTCCCACTGGCGCACCTAGTCACGTTAGTTATCCCAATTTTTAGAAGTTTCATCTGAAGTGAGACCTTTTAATTTATATTAATTGTAAAATCTTTCTTATGCCCCTGCGTTTAAGAAATTCTTTGAAATACCCTTAATATAGAATATTGAATAGTATTGTGTTTGAGAAAACTATTTATACCATGGTTCAGCAACCAAGAGGGTGTTCTCTCTCTTTCTAGTAGACCATGTAGGAGTCAGGTAGAGATTTTACAATGGACTACCTTGAACATGTTTTGTGTCATTAGTTAATACTAAAAAATAATAAATAAATAAATTTACTATTCTCCTAAGGCATAATATATATATATATATATATATATATATATATATATATATATATATTGGTAATCTTTCACATTGTACAAACTCTGAATGTTGTTAATTGAAAAACAGTAGGTCCAGAAACATGAATGAAGTAGTCGATTTAAAGGATGATTAACTTGACTGCCCAGGGACTTATGGAAAGTAGGTCCATTCAGTGTTGTTAAAGGCGTGCCTGGGCTCCAGGCGCAACACTTGTGCCTGTTCTGTGCCCAGGTGCGTATTTGACAACATTTGCTCCTTTAATATGGAATCTGAATATGCTTTAATAGTAATTTAATTTTTCAATTGCGCGCCTCTTCTTGCGCCTAGGCTCCAAAGGATCTCTAGCACCTTAGTGTGCATTGGGCCTTTGATAACCCTGGGTCCATTGATTGCAGTTGCCTGGGTAATTTGGAAACCATGTTTGGCACCATGCAACTGGAACTCATAAAAAGCACTTGGCTACTTGAAGTGTCATGTTAAGCACCTTATATATACCACTAACTTCTGGCATAGGGAACAATCAATTTTGTAGACCCGATTTATCCTCTTTTGATATTGTATGCAAATTTTCATCTCTAGTCAGTCTAGTGATGTCTATTCATGCAATCTCTTCCATGTCCAAACTAACGTCTGGTGATGCCATGGAAAATGTTTACTTTCACACAGTTGTCATGAGCCCCAGGCCTCTAGTATCAGGCTATATTGATAATCCTACCATGCTAAAGGACTTTAGGCCTATTTCATGTTTTAATACACTTGATAAGTGTATTTCAAAAAATTTGGCTAATAGGCTTAAGGTAGTCCTTGCTTCCCTTATTTCTAACTCTCAAGCTGCTTTCATCCATAATAGAAATATAAGAGATAATTTCTTCTTGTTCAAAAATTATTCAGAAACCATCACAAAAATTCTGATCCCTCTAGATGTGCTATTAAAGTAGATCTTCAAAAAGCATTTTATTCAATCAGGTGGCCTTTCCTACTCAATTCTGTGATTGGATTAAAGTATGTATTACTTCTCCTAAGTTTTATATCAGCGTCAATGGGTCTCGAGGGTTATTTTACTGGTGCCAGCGGCCTAAGTTAAGGTGTCCCTATTTCATTATATCCATGGAATTACTCTCTCTTACAATCAACCACCTTGTTTCTAATAACCCTTTCAAATATCACTGGAGATGCAAACAAACTTGCCTTACATCTTTGTTTTGCTAATGCTGATGTTCTAGTTTGCCATGGAGATTATGATTCTACTTTCACTCTTCGTACGGTCCTCAATATATTTTCTAGTTTCTCGTATATGCATCCCAATTCTTCCAAAAGTAATATTTACTTCTCTAATGTTTTTGCTTCTAACCAAGCTGCTATTTCCTGTTTCCTGATGCTTTGGGTTCCCTTTGGGAACCTTTCCTTTTAGATACCTGGGAGTTGATTGAGGGTTATTGATTGTAGAACTCTTGTTGATAAAATTGCTGCAAAGATTACTGATCTAAGTTTACTGGTCTAGCCATTTTGTTCTTCCCAAAAAAGTTATTAATCTTTGGCTTGGAGTACAGTTGTCTGTGATATCCAAGAAGGTGGATTAGGCCTCAAAAATATTTTTCTATGGAATAAAGCTGTTATGGCTAAATACTTTTGGCTCCTCATGCAACCTTCTTCTTCCTCCTTATGGGTGCAATGGGTTCATCGGTACATTCTAAACAGTAAGTATATGGGATGTTAAGGTTCCTCCTAATTGCTCATGGTTCTGGAGAAAGTTGTTGCAACTTAGTGAAACTGTTAGGCCATGCTTAAGGCATACAGTGTGTGATGATCAGGGCACATCTCTTTGGTTTGATATTGGCTGCAATCTGGACCAATCTTGTCTCAATTTGGTTAAAGGATCATTTATGACTCTGGTCTTCCTAGAATTGCCAAGGTTGCTGATATTATTTCTAATAATTCTTGGTCTAAACCTGGTTGGCCTATTGTCTCATCATGATAGTCCAAGTAATGTTTCTGATACCATTTCGTGGACTCTCTCTCCTACTGGTTCATTTTCAGCTAAATTATTTGGTATCACCTTCTGTGGTCTAAAGCCTCTGTTCCAAGATACCGTTTCGGCCTTTATTTTGCTATTGAGTTCAAACTTCCTACCAAAGATATACTTTTCAGTCATGGCTGTTTTTCTAATGTCAATTGAGCTCTATATCATCATGGTTCAAAGGATCACAATCATTTATTTTTTGATTGTCCATTCTCTTATAGAGTTTGAAGTTCATCAAATCTAAGTGTGGCATTCATGTTCTCTTTAATTCCTGGGTTTCTTGGATTAACTGGGCTAGTGCAGCTTTCAAAGACTCCTCATAGCTTCTACTTTATGCAAGCTAGTTCTATCTTCTACTGTGTGTCATGTAAGGAATGAGAGGAATTATAGACTATTTTCTGATTCTACAAGAGACCCTCTTATTGTCATTTGAATTATAGAAGACTGTTAGATTCCGATTATCAAGCCCGAGAGGGGTTACTAACAATTCAGTTAATAGGCATATCCAACTGTCTTGGAAGCTTCCTGATGGTATTATTCAATAAATGAATTATATGCTCTGAATTGGCTAGTTCTGTTTGCTGCCATGATGGATCTGTTCTCTATTCTGGTTCAAACTCAATGGTTTATAGCGTTGTTTCGTCAGCTGTATACTAAGAATGTTTGTTGGGATGTGCATACTTCAATTTTTTGCTCCAAGGGATGTAAATTCAGTTCTTATTGGTGCTACCATGCTGACTGATTATGACATGGCTCGATCTGATTATCCATGGTCTTGCTTGATTGCTTATCATATGGGTAAAGCTGATCCTGGATGGTGCTCCAGCACAGTGAAGAGATTTAAGGGCTTTCTTGTTTCTTTTTTAATCAGACATTCTCTCGATTCATTTGTTCTCTTGTTTTTCTTCTTTTAGATGTATGCTTGAATTTTTTTGAGAATTCTCTGATTTTACTCTGTATTGTGGAGTTACATATCTCCTTGATCTTGTAATGGTAGCTTGAACAATAAAATCCTCACTTGCTTACCAAAAATAAAATAAAAAGAGACGGCCAACTACAGACGTATATCATGTCCATGGCCCATCTGCGGGGTTTGTGTTTAGTGAAGTGGTGATGGTTTGAAAATCCATTTTATTTCATATACTTGTCCAAAAATATATATATTTCATATACTTATACTGCTTCCTAGTTCCTTCAGTTAATCTAGTTGTGCTTCGCTGAGGGTGGCCAAATTGATTGTGTCTTGTATACTTCATAATTAGGATTTCGCTTTGTTTTCAATGACAATTGGGTTTCTAAATCACTCTACAATTCTGCAGTGAGGAGACAAGTGACAACCAAAGCAACGTGACTAGACGATCCCCTCTGAATTTAGCAGCTGATGGTGATTCTGTATGGGGAATCCTTGCCACCATCTCAATGAGTACGAATGAATGGTATTCTCAGTAAGCAAAGTAGTGGATTAAACAACTCAACTAAATAGCAGTTTTTCAGCTTCCTGATTGCTGGATATTATTACTAAAAGTATTCTGGCTTGGAATCTAAATTTCCGATTGGCATTCCATCTATGTTCTTGGTATTATTCTTCTGGGTGGTAAATTGGGTTTTAATTTGCAGAAGATACATTAAAGTCTCAATATTGGTTTTTTCTGAAGGACAGATCATCAAGCTTGCTCAACTGGGAAACTAATGGAGATATGGGTCATTTTTAGGAAGCAATTAGGTTTCACTATGTTCAAATCTTTAAAGGGTCTTTGATGCATTAATTGATGATGAGAACTCTACAAATATGGTGCGTAGCCGGCTTCAGAAGCATGAGTTGATCATTCTTTGGAGTAGTATGTTTTGATTGATCTCTTGTTAACTTTCACTTTTCTAATATATACATCCAGTTGAATTAAATTTAATAATTGTTTTTCAAGAAGTAGATCTATACTATTATCATTGTAATTTCCTTTGCAATGTCTACTCCTTGAAATTAAGTGCAACAAGAAAGATTGTAATGCCTGTTTGGTGGGATCAGAAAAAATGTTGGAGCTGTGACCAAGGGTATAACTTGATTTATCTTTTATCTGACAAATTCTAACCTTGAGCTTAGTGTTTTCAATTGATTGACTGTGAACTTCAGTGACGAACCTACTCACTGATTTGTCAAAACTTCAATTCCCATCTCAATATTTGGGGTAGAAAGAATAGTGTTTGTTTTAACCCGGGGTGGTCCGGATGTATGATTTTTCCTTTCCAAATGGGAGGTTGAGTGATAGAGCTCTCAATTTGCTTGGAACTTTCGGGAAAAAAATTATTTGGAGAAGAAGAAAAATCCCTAATAATCTAATGCATCATCATTACAACAAATTTACAATCTTATCGTTAGTTGGAGTTTGAAGATCTGAGCATTACAACAAATTTAATTTGCTTGGTGAATTTGGTTGGTCAGGAAGCTTTTAAACACATGGCGTTGATTTACAATTGGTTCCAGATTCTTGATATGATATAAATTTAGAAAGCATTTCTTGAAGCACGGAGGAGTTTGCATGGATGCGAAGATGAAGTTGTCGATCGTACGTGTTTAAGTAAGTTTACCAATTTAGTCTCGGAGAAAATTTAATATAGAAGTGTTCTTTATTAGCAAAATAATTGACAGTCTTGATGCAAGTCTCACAATCCTTCTAATCGGGTGGCTTGACATTTTTTTGCTCTTTTTCACGCTTACTCCAGCTGGTGGTCATGCTGAACTCAATTGGTAGGGAATTAGATGGTGAGCCATATATACAATTCTAATCAATTTGGAATTTCTTAGACCAAGGTCGTGTTTGGTATACATTTTGTATATTGTTTTTGTCGAATACTATAGTAGTGAATAATGAAAAAAAAGTGTATGGTAAAAATTATTTTGTTTTGTACAGTGTCGAAACTTGTTGTGAATATATGTGTTGCACGCTGCAACGCTTGGTATTGTAGCAATTAATTATTTATTTATTTTTTTTTTTTGGATTGAACACTGTAATGTTTGGTAGTGTAACAAATATGTAGGATTAAAATTATGATAAAGTACAGAAAACCCCCTTGATTTGTGGCATTTTCCAGTAAATTCCTCGTCTAACTTTTTACCAAAGAACCTCCCTTAACTTGTAGCTCTTTCCAATAAATCTCCCTGTCTAATTTTTTTACCAAAGAACCCTCCTCAACTATTTAAAGGGGTTAAAAGAGTTGATATTTGGACCAAGATGTCCTTTTAATTAAATATTAATTTTTCCAAACTTCAAAAATTCATATCTCACAAACCATATATCAAAATATTGCAAATAATATATGCACGGAAAGCTTACAAAATAATAATTCCATAAATATAAGATTTGTATAACAAAACTTTATAACCAAAGAGAAATAGACAATCTAAAAATCTACTGCAACAATTTTATTTTATTTTATTTTATTTATTAAAAAACTCTGGTAATTTGCAAGAAAATTTTCAGAATTATTCATTTTCATATGGAGCATAACATATAAAAAAAAATTAGCCCCAATAGAGACCGAATATTTATTTTTAAATGGTGAGTCTATAAAGGAATGAAAACACTTTGACACAAAATATGATATCTCGTTAAATCAATCTCTGTTGGGGCTAAATTTTTTATATATTTGGCTACATATGTAAATGAATAATTCTGAAAATTGCCTTGCAAATATCTCGAATATTTTATTTTTAAAAAATAAAATAAGATTGTTAGATTAAATTTTTAGATTACCTATTTCTCTTTGGTTATGAAGGTTTGTTGTACAAGTCTTATATTTGTGAAATCTTTATTTCATAAGTTTTCCGTGAATATATTATTTACAATTTTTAAATGTATGGTTTGTGAGATATGAATTTTTTAAGTTCAGAAAAACTAAGATTTAAAAAAAAGGGTATTTTGGTCTAAATATAAACTCTTTTACCCCCTTCAGATAGTTGAGGGAGGTTTTTTGGTAAAAAATTAAATAAGGGGAATTTATTGGAAAAAAGTCACAAGTCGAGGGGGTTTCTTTGGTAAAAAAATAGATAAAGAGTTTACTGAAAAAGATTACAAGCCGACGAGGGTTTTATATACTTTGACCTTAAAATTATAAAACCTCCCTCTATTTTCAAAATCGTGCATGAAACCGCCAGTAGAATTAAAAATGAAAAAAGAAAAAGAAAAAAGAAAACCATGAACTAACAAAAATTATCAAGTTATCCAAAAACTCATGACCGACCCGTTAAATGAGTTGTGAAATGTCAAATTTTACCTTACTATTTTATACGGAGTATTAAATTAAAGCCTATAATTATTATTTAAAATTTAAAAAGTACCCTTTATAATAATATTATTTAATGTTTGATGAGTTGTTATCTTACCTATTTCTCACCCCAAATATTATTTTTATAATTTTAAAATAATAATTATACCTTCTAATTTAATATTAAAAAGTAAAGTCAAATTTACCATTTCACAACTATAACAGGTTGGTCATAAGTTTAGAGTAACTTAATAAGTTTTGTTAGTTCGAGTTTTTTTTTTTAAATTCTAGTGGGAGTTTTTCATGTCCGATTTTGAAAGTAGAGGAGAGTTTTATGATTTTAACCCAAATATATATTAATAAACAATGTTATTGGTTCAATTATGCTTTCTACTTTCACTATAAAAAATAAAATCATGTTTATGCTTTCTTAAAGATTACAAAAATAGAAAACCAAAACAGTACTATACACACCCAAGTAGTCTGCTTTTCTATCCAATTCCAACATTTGAAAATGATTTGTTCTCCAAAATTTCGAGAACAAATCACTGTTGAAGCATCCCACAGCCGTTGGGTTTTCAACAAGCATTCCAATCTTTTGGTGAAGAGGGCGTAACATTACTCTTTTTTTCCTAAGTTTAAGGTCAATATTTTATGGGGGTGAAGTGCAAAAAATTCCTCTAAATTATTAATTTTTTGCAACTAACCCCTCCGTATTAAAGATTGCTCTCCTAAATTATTGATTTGTTACAATTAAGTACCAACCCATCACAAAAGAATATTTTACCATTTGTTATTAAAATTTTCATTTCTTATTAAATTGTTTTTTATTATATTTTATCTTATTTAAATATTAAATATACATTTACCTTAATTTTATAATTAGTATCAATTGATTATAAAAATGGAAAAAAATAATTAAATTTGCAGCTAACATTTTCTAAAATCATTAACTTATTATAATAAAACTTATTATACTCACTTAAAAAAAAATAGTATAAAAAATATTATTTTTCAAACAATATTCATGAAAAATTAATAAATTACGTAAATAAAAAATATTTTCTTTTTAATGCAATATATTCATGAAAATTAAGAAATTACTTAAATTGTTTCAAAATTTTCTATTTAAGATTTTTATTTAAATAATTAATTTAAAAAATTAAAGGCAAACTTATGCAAATTTAATGGAGAATATTTCATCAAATTAGTATGAATTTTTTTCATAATTTATTTTAATAAGAAAAATGTATCAAGTGTAATTCAATATTATGATCATTTAATGAAAAATAGGTAAGACAATGGGGCATTTTGTAACTAAATATGATAATTTAGGTGGTTTTATACACAAAACATAATTCAGGGGGTTATTTGCGAATTTTGACATAATTGAGGAGGGTTTTTTATACTTTACCCATATTTTTATGACTTTTAAGGCATAGCTTTCAAGTTCCTAAAGTCGTTTTTTAATTAATATCAAGTCAAAATAGTCCTACGTTTTTTTTTTCTTTTTCTTTTTCTTTTTCTTTGCTTCTTATTGGTGAGAAGTGTTGTTTTTGTTTGTAATTCTACCTATTGATGGAGGATTGTACATATGTATCATAAATTTTCTGTTTGATCTTTCACCAAGTAGAAAGCAAACCTTTCATGAAATTGAATGATGAATAAATTCATTTTTTTTTTTTTTTTTAGTTAAAGTTTTTATTATCTTTGTTGTTATCCCTAGAATGATTAATTTTTTTTTTTTGGATGATGAGCTTACTATCCTTCTTTATCTATTAATTTTTCCAACATCAATTTGGATTGGGTTTGGGTTCATCGATCCTAATTTTCTATTCTTAGCTTTGTATTTTTGTTTCTATAGTTTAATACAATTTCACTTTTGTTGCCTTCAGAATTGCTGAATTAGTGCTCTGAAGTAGAGGGTATATATATATATATATATATTTTCTGTGTTTTAATGCGATTTCACTTATGTCTGTTTCTTAACAAGAATTATTATTATTTATTGAGTAATGATAGGCAATGCAAAAGAAAAAACGTAAAAATTAGAAGGGGAAAAAAGGAAAGAAAAAATAAAATAAAAAGAAACGGAAAACTAAAAACTCATCCTTTTTCCATTACCAAAATCTTAAATAAGAGAGTGTATATAATACTGTATTTATTTAGTTAAAATCAGTAATTAAGGAAAATTTGACTATTAAAATGATTTGATATATTCAAACTGTATAATTTTAGGAATTTTTACTTTGTAAATTTAGATATATTAAACACGGTAACAAGTAATTTTCAATTTACGATTACTTTCTTTTGCTCTCACCCTCCAATTTATGGAGAGTTTTTAGTTTCTTGTTTATGAGGAAAATAGGAAGGTGTTTTATATTTATTTATTTATTTTTCATTAATTTTTTCCTCTTTCAGTGATATCTTTCTTTTTTAAAACGAGTTTTCGCGATTTCTCTTTCACTTTGTGTATTTTTATTACTCTTATTTTTTTAAGAAGAGAAAAAAAGTAAAAAAAAGAAGAAGAAGTAGTAATTGATTAGTTAAGAGGGGTAATTTGAACATTTCACTCCATCCAAGGGCAAATCAGTTCATTCCAATAAAACACAGGGTCAATTCAGTAAATACCAGATCAGTGTAGCTAGGTTCGCTTATAAGAAGGCTCTCTCTTTCTCTCTCATCGTTACATTTCTGTGGAGCAGCAGCAAAGCTAGCTGCACCGTCAATCAGGTAGAAATTAGGGCTAGGGTTTTTGTACACACATATATGCACGCCTGTATGCTACATCTTTGTACGTTCTTTTGACATTCATCGAATTCAATCAAGTTGTTCAAGCTTCCCTGCAATCTGTTCTCGTATATTCTGTAGTTCTTTTCTTCTTAATTTCGTGAATTTGTTACATCGTAGTTTATACTCATGTCACTGATGAATCTGATTATTGTGTCTTTGGGTTTCAGTTCTGTAATGATCATGCTATATCTGTTTGCACTTTAGGGTTTGTGAAAGAACTAGTTAGGGTTTAGGTTTGTGATTAGATTCGCATAGTACTCTATAATCACATGTTTTCAATAGTTTTCTTCAAGTAAACATATCTTGAATTTTGCTTACTTGTGGGCGATATATATGTATGCTCGAATGCATATGCTTATATTTTCGTGTCTATTCATATGCTTATTGAAAAAGAGGAGCCTAATTTGCTGACAGGTATAATTGAGGATTGAAACATCATAGGCTGATCTGGAGCTTGTTCCAATTAAATGGGTTGGGTTGTTCGGTCTTGCTTCCCCCTTGAAGGGTTGATGAATTTGACAAGTAATTAAGGTTTTAGCTATTCAGTTTAGATCCAGTATTGTCTAGAATTTGGAATATTATTTTACTATATGTTAGTGGTATGATAGTACTCAATTTATGTATGTGTTATATGCATGATATTACTTATTATCTATGTTGAAATAGTGTGTTTGAAAAAGTGGGATTTATTTATTCTGTATTTGAATTTATATTTGATTTGTTAATATGATGGGAGAACTACGCCATTTTGTTGGATATGTAAAGTCAAGTATGAACTATCTACATTGACTGGATGATGGATTATTGTTCCTTAACAAGGAGATAATTATCCTTTTATAAATTGGAGATGTGAATGAATTAGTTAGTGTTTTGAGTTGTGGTTTGATTCCAACCGTCCCTATAATCACACTTTTTATTACTTTCTTTTTGAAGTGAAAATATCATTATATGTTGAATTTCAGTTGCTTGTACACATGTATACTTACGTATGCATGCATGTATGTAAGTGTGCACATATGTATCTTCATCTCTTTATTGAAAAAGAGGAGCCTGTTTTGGTTATAGGCATAATTAAGGACTGAAGCCTCATATGCTGATCTGGAGCTTGTGCTAATTAAATGCTGATGGCCTGCTTGTTCCTCTCTTGAAGGGTTGGTATATTTGAGAAGTAATTACTGAGTTGAACTACTCAGTTTATATCCATGATTATTTGGAATTCACATTACTGCATGATACTCCTGATAGTACTACTTATATGTATGCATGTGCTTGTTATATCCACTTTGACATATTTTAAGTTAAAAATTGGGATATATTTAATTTGTATTCGGATTTCTATGCTCAAATTGACTCAACAAAGCCTTTTTCCAATTACTTGTGGTCAACTATGTGAATCCTATTTTCTCAATTCACACTATCTAAGGCAATACTTCAGTCAAATGAAGTGTTATAATATCTTTACCTAATTGCCCTACCCATGTTAATTTTGGTCTTCCCCTTCCCCTAGTATTTGCTCAATGCGGACCATGTCATTCTTCCTGACTGGCTTACTTGGATGTCTTTTTTGCACACGTCCAAACCTTCTTAATCATGTGCCCCCCAACCCCCCGGGCGCGGGGGTATGAATTAATAGTATTCTTGCTAATGCACAACTTTGCTATCAGATCGTTGGTCCAATTGCTGTGAATTTGTAATCTTGAAAGACAAAGAAAATGAGCAAGAAGAACCCTCTGGTTTTTCTGGACGTTTCTATCGATGGAAATCCTGTTGAAAAAATGGTTTTTGAGGTATAATTATTATGTTATGAATTTTAAACTTTTTATTAAGTGAATAAGTTCTTTATGTTCAATAAATACATTATTTATCTTTGGTTCTACAGCTTTTCTCTGATGTTGTTCCAAAGACTGCAGAAAATTTTCGTGCACTCTGTACAGGTAATGTATTTGTGTAATTGGTACCGGATAGTTATTTTTTTCCCAGTACAAGTTCCAACTTTCCTGGATAAGTTATTTTTTAAATTATAGTTTAATTTTGTTTAGCTCCATGTTGTACTTGTAGTCTTAATCCAGTCATATGTTTAAATGTGTTTTGGTATTTTGAATTTTTTTTATTCTCTCTTGTAAATTTATCATTGATTATCTGTGTACTGAAGAAGCCCTTGCACTCTCAGAAAAGCTTAATTTGCAAGTGGTGCTTAGGGATCCTTAATGCAAAGTGTGGTGGTCAGTTTAGCACCATTTGTATGTTGTAATTATTAGTTCCGTTGCGTTGTTACAAGAGAAAATAAAATACAAATGGTGCTAAACTAATAATTATCTGTGTACTGAAGAAGCCCTTGCACTCTCAGAAAAGCTTAATTTGCAGGCGGTGCTAAGGGATCCATAATGCAAAGTGTGGTTGTCTGTTTAGCACCATTTGTATGTTGTAATTATTAGTTCCGTTGCGTTGTTTGACAACATGTGTAAATAAATTCTGTATGATTGAACTTTGTTAGAATATTATGTTTATCTTTTGATGGATTTACAACGTAACTTCTTGTTGTCACTTCTGAATCAGTTCTTTGTTGTCAACACCCATGAGTTCCGTCATGTTTTACACATCAATGGAGAGAAAGTAAGATTGAATCTTTCAGGATTAATATTATGTTCTGATGGATGTCGTTAGAGTTGTGATGCTGTTAATCATCATGAAATATATTTTCCCGCAATTTTGCTCATTTTAATCCATTTGCATGATGACAGTTAAATTATTTATATATATATTTTTCTGATTTCTATAATTGATATTTTTTCAGGGGAGAAAGGAGTCAGTGTTAAAAATGGAATGCCTCTACACTATAAAGGATCTTTTTTCCATCGCATTATTAAAGGATCCATGGCTGAGGTACGTTCTTTATTTCTCATCTATGTAGGAGTTTTTTGATAGATTGAAAGTGATTCATTGTCATGCTTCATTTTCTGGTTGAGCATGATTTAGAAGTGGTCTCTCTTTTAGTCAGCTATCCTTCTTTATGATGTAGGATACAGGGCTGATGGTCACGACTGCTTTTCTTGTGATGTAGTTTTAAGGTTGTGCTTAGTTGTCCATCCTCAAAAATTTACTGAACTTCACGTATACAACCCAGTTTTGTACAAAAAGTTTTCTTCTTGACTGCCAATGTATTAATAATTTGTTTTTTTACCTTTTCTATTTTCTTTGCAGGGAGGCGATTTACTTAGAAGAGATGGTACGTGTTCTTTGTGCTGTAATTTGCTTCCATTGTATCATTCCATCTTCGAGGATTGGAAATTTGAGGAAGATTATGATTTCTGTTCAGTATTATGCATGGATGTGTATTCCCTGATGATTAAAATGATCCAATTATTATACTTCAGTTCCTTTTCTCTCTCTTTTTTAATTATTTGAGCTTGCATGGTAATTTACTTTCTTAAATTGCTAAATCCTAAATTTTCTGAATACTGTTGCAGACAAAGAGCATGAGACAGTTGAAATGAACAAATTCCAAATTCCAACCCCATCAACCCCCCCCCCCCCCCCCCCCCCCCCCCCCACCCCACGCACACGCACAAAAGACGTCCAAACTTGTTTTCAATTTATAATTTTTGCGTGATAAAATAGGTCTACTTGACTATTTGGCTTAAGTTGTGGAAGTAACCTGGTAACCCAAAATTGCGATGAGACCCCTTATGACAAAGCTATTAGAAAGGTACAGGAACTCTGAGCTTAACAGTAGTCAGGAATACAAAAAAAACAAACTGCATGCACCTTGTTTTGGTTCCTACAACTTTGTCAACATGAATTGGTAAGAGTAGGCAGTGACACATGTAAGAATTATTGACAAACAAGTTATCGGGCAATGAAATTATCGATTATCCACACAAATCTATCAGGATGCATTTTCAGTATGCTCTCGCAATGACAGCTGGTATGAAACCTAAATGTTAAAGAGAGTTTACTTAGTATGGGCGCTCATCATTATTATCCTTGCATTTATCCTAACAAATGGGACGCGTCTAATTGTTTAGTTGCTGAAGATAATTATAATGGTAATTGGTAAAACAAGAGGGGTGGGAAATCTTATCAAAAAAAAAAAAAAAAAAAGAGATCCAGGAATACTCATTGAATTTGAGGCCTGATTTGACGATGAGGAAACTGCAGTGGAACTTGACCCTAAAAGCATAAATTTGCGAGTTATTTGAGTAACCCTCATCTGATTTCAGCAACATTATTTACCAATTGAATTATCAATTTGTTGTCCTGATGGTCGTGATGTGTTTTTTGAAAGACCATTCCACAATTCGGCGAAACTGCTTTTATTTTATGGTTATTAATGACACTAAGTTGAATTGTTTTGCCTACTTTGCAGGGAATTTTGGAGAAAGCATATATGGGGATAAGTTTCCAGGTGAGTATACAATTATGTTATTGTTTCTTTCCATGTGAATTCTGTATTATAGTCTTACTGTCTGGTTATGATGTTATTCTTTGAAGTATTATTATTCATAGAGCTTCTGCCACATTTTTTGAGGATTGTGACTTAGATTGTTGATAAAAAAGATTGACCCAAACACACACAATCATGTATGTTTCGTTTCCCACAAATCATTTGTATCTTGTGAGCAAATGGGTTTCCTTTTGCATTGCTTGTGAAGGTGGGGGCTGACTTTGATCTTATTCTCGGAGCATGGGAGCTTCGACCCAATGAAATTGGACAATATTGTTTCTGTCTCTTAAAATGGTAGGGTGTATAGATATCATGTCTAAATGTGTATTTGTACCTCTTTGATTTATGGATGTTACCCTTTTAAGTGCCATAGACGTGTTCAAAGTATGCTTTGCACTGAAGGTATAAGCACCTTTCATTTTTTTTCTATCCTATTTTTCTTGTATTAATTGGTGGATGCTTTTATTCCTTTTTAGGTAGTGAGCTTGTGCATTGGATAAGAGTATAAAAGAGTGTTGGATATTAAATGGGCTAACCTTTTGAGGCAGAAATTTCTGTTGCATAATTGGTTTGTTTAATATTGTAGTATATTTACATTTTATTACATGATGTTTATGGAAGGACACTTAAATTTTAAACTGATTGTTTATGTTTATCCTTACACGTTTTGCTTTAGTGGGTAGAGCGAGCTCAACTGTTGTACACTTGAACTTATGGAAGGGAGTGGGGGGGTTTCTTTGGTGTATATTGGTTCTACATATTGGATTCATCTACTCAACTAGCTTGTTTGCATTGAGCATATGTTGTTTTTTGATGGTTCTATTGCTTCTCTACTTAGCTACTGAAGGATGATCCCCTATATCACGTGTCGATCCTAAAAATTGTGTATTAAAAGAATATTGGTTATTGGAGTGCAAAAGGATGGTTCTATGTAGGATCTACAAGACAAGATGAACTGATTGTATAAAAATGGTAGCTCATGACATGATATTTTGTTTGAGAAGAAATCCTCCTGCAAAGTGACGTTTTACAACATTTTAAGTGGGGTTGTTCCTTCTCTACGCTTTTTAGTGTCGAGTATTATTTAAAATGGGGTATCTTTTTATAGTATAACTTACATAGTTTTTATATGTTTGTTGTGTTGGTGGTGGTTGAGGAGTGTCCTTCCTTGTCCATACAGGTTGAATCGCCTTTACTATGCTAGACTTACTAATCTTCCTTGGATGAGAAATTTTAGAAGTTATACCTTCTCAGGTCATAGTTCCACTCTTGGTATTGAGCAACCATGATGGCACCACAACCATTGCCATTGCCACCTCTTGTTATCAAGTCTGCTCTTGGCAGTAACAGTCCCTGGTGCTGTGGTGGCCATCAACAACCCCCTTCCCTTCTGGCAGCATTGTTGTTGCATCTGTCAACACCACCATTACTGTTGTAGCTGCTATCAATGCTATATCCTTGTAGTTTCATTTAGGCCTCCACTGCTGTTCCTTCCTCCACGGCGTTGATTTTCGTACTTTCTTTCATTCCTTTGTTGTCAATACACTTTTTTCAGCATCCACTATCGCATCATAAGTACTATTGTTGTTTCCATTGCAGTCAACACCACTCCTCAACAGCCAGTGTTGGTCCTATTGTGATGCCACTACAACTGTTGTTCCATAATTTGAGCCACTGCTGCTTTTATTTTTTTTTAATACTATTGACCTTAACCAAATTTGATTTTCTATATCATATAATTAATTTAGTGGGTTCACTAATTGCTGCATTTACTTGTGATTTTGAATGGTATATAATATCATGAACATCTAATTTATGAATATGGTGATAAGTTATTGGAACTGCCAAATATCATGTGTGTGCCTATGTAGTGTATGTTGTTTAAAATTGTGTTCATGTTTGTACAAGTTCAAATGTAGTTTGATAATCATGCATCTTTTGTTTCTCAAACTAGGATGATGAGTCTAGGGTGTGCTATGAAGTAGGAATCTATCGTGGCATTGCTCCAGTCTTACTTTTCGGGATGCATGACTCCTGTCTTGTTTTCTTGGTTCTCGTATTTTAATAATGTTGTACATACTGGTGGTATAAAATAGCACATGGATTTATTGTTTCATAAATTTCCCCCTCGAAGCTTTTTCTTTAAAAAGTCATTTGTTTTTTAAATCATGGAAGGAAAAAAGTCTTTTATGCTAGCACATTTCTGTTTTACCTATGAGTGACTGGTGGTAGTTGTGACATGTTTCAGATGAGCCACCCAAGCTAAAACATAATACACCTGGTCTTCTATCAATGTCAATTGCTGAACGTGATGCCCGTGGTTCTCTATTCATTATCACCTTCAAGGCTAATCATCAGCTTGACAGGTTAGTTTATTTGCTATTTTGCTGCAGTACTCAATTCCCTTATGGATGTGAGGGAAATTTTTTCCTAGGTTGAAAATCTTTGATCATTCTACATTCTACAAATTGTATCAAGTATGTTTGTATTTTTCGCATCCTTAAATTTGTGAATTCTCTCAAACAGGAAGTACCTTGTCTTTGGAAAACTCGTGCGAGGAGATGAAGTTTTGAAGAAAATTGAGAACGTGGGTGAGGAAGACGGGAAACCAGTTGTTACGGTGAAGATCATTAATTGCGGTGAATTTCGCGAGGGTGAGAACCAAAGTGCGATATTGTCTTGTTGTAAAATGTTATTTTTAGAGTCTTACTAGTTAGAGGTTCTGCATTTTACAATCTTACATGTGTTTTTAGTTCCTTTTTGTTTGAAAGACATGTAATATTTAACTTTTATTAGTTGGGTTATGTTTGCGTTATATGGTGTTCTTTTCCCTCAGTGCTTGATATTACCGAGTGCAGGCAAAAAAAGAGCGAATAAATTGAAAATGGGGAAGGATGCTTCTTCTGAGGCCAATAGTCATGAAGTACGGCGTAGAGGAAAACACAAAAGGCCTATAAGAGATAGAAGGAAAAAGAGAAGAAAATATTATACATCTGAATCAGATAGTTCCTCAGATACTGAGATGGAATCATCTGAATCTGATAGTGATTCTGACTCATATATATCATCATCATCTGAATTAAGTTCTTCAAGTGATGACAGGCGAAAGAAGAGAAAGAGATCTTCTAAGAGAGACAGATATAGACGTGGAAAAAGGAGGGATAGACGGCGTGAAAAAAAGCGCAAGAGGCGTGATAGGAGATCAAAGCACCGATCAAAAAGGTTGGCATTATAGATTTAACTTTTCTGTTCCTTGTTCTAGATGCAACTTCAAATTTTCTTCACTTTTTGAAAATTATTTTTTCTGATAATTCCATGACAAAAACCATAATCTCCTGAATTTCTCTGTTTGGAACTGCTTATTTTTTGTTGACCTAGTGGAAACCTCTGTTTGTAGATGTATATTTGTGGGATTTTTTTCTTAGCCTCTATATATGGGAAATTTCACGGTGTCATTACTTTGTGTGCTGTTGTGAATTAAAAAAGTTATATCATGGTTATTAGTTTACTGTCATTAGTGCCAAGTTTGTATTGGAATTGATCTTGATATGCTATTTGTGTTTTTTAAACTGAAGACATAACCATCTAAACTGCTCCCCTCATTTACAAGCATGCCATTTAAGGGAGAGTATTACTTGAGCTATCTTCTCTCGCTCTGTTTCTCTGGTTCTTTTCTTCATTTTCTCTTGGTCTGAAGTTCTTCCTTTCTGTTATATTTTGAAAGAGCGTCAGATAGTCTTACTGATACTGAAAGCGAGAGTAAAAGTGGAAGTAGCTCTGATGACAATGATGTTGATATTGGAAGGGCAGACCGGAAGCATAAAAACCCTGCTCAGATAACTGGTATGCTTGAATTTATTTCATTGTATTTCCATTAGGCCTTCGGTTAATATATCTTTTTTGTTTGCGTTTGCTTAGATTTTTATGACCAGCATCTTGATTTGTTTAGGTACAACATTCATCCCACATATATATTGCCTTAATAGGAATGCTTTTAAATTGCATTTTTAGATGCTTCCGATAATTACTTTTATCAACTTTTGTAGTTGAAAAGCAGCCTCCTTTGGCTGAGGAGAGAGAAACAGCCGTTCATCATAAAAAGGGGGAGGTGACTGAAACGCTTGAAAGGGAAGAGGGTGAGTACCCTAAGGAAAATGGAGAGCGGCAAAGTAACGGCTTTGAAGCGGAAACTAAATCAGACAGAAGTGCAGATGGGCCTGATGTAGTAGATGATCATCCAGGAAAATCTAGGTTCATTTTCCATTCTTCTCAAAACCTCATTCTTTATGCTTACCGATTCTTCCAGATCTGGTATTTTATTGAAAGTTGATGAGCAGGAGCCGAAGCATTAGTCCTAAAAGGGCCATGAGCAAGAGTATGAGTATTAGTCCCAAGAAGAGTTTGAGCAAGAGTCCAAGTGTGAGCCCAAGACGCAGTGTGAGCAGGAGTCCAAGTAGTAGTGCAAGTCCCCCACACATCTCACAGAGAAGCAGAAGTATCAGCAGAAGCCCTGCCAGAAGTGGCAGCAGCGGAAACCCTTCCAGAAGTGTCAGCAGAAGTCCAGTCAAGGCCAAAAGGTTTAAAAGTGTCAGCAGCAGCCCTGCCAGAATTGTCAGCAGCAGAAGTCTCAGCAGCAGTAGTGCCAGCAGAAGTCCTGTGAGGGGCAAAAAGGGAACAAGCAGGAGCCCGTTGAGAGCCCGATCTAGAAGAAGCATTAGCAGGAGCCCCATAGCATCCCCGCCTCAAAGAAGCCTTAGCCGAACCCCACCAAAAATTTCATCGAGGAAGTCATCACGGAAATCAGTGAGCAGAAGTCCTATAAGGGTTCCAAGAAGCAGAACCCCTGTTAGATCTTCTCGAAGAAGCATAAGCAGAAGCTCAGGGAAGGCACCTTCTAGGAGAAGTTTTAGCCGAAGTCCAGTTAGGGCATCTACCAGGTATGATCGTCGCAGCTACTCTAGGAGTCCTGTAAGTGCAAGACGCAGGGCAAGGTCACCCATTCCTGATCGTGGAAGGAGCTTATCAAGGAGTCCTTCCCCAGATGGATCACCCAAGCGCGTTAGAAGGGGAAGGGGTTTCAGTCAGCGATACTCGTATGCACGCAGATACAAGAGTCCTTCTCCGGATCGTTATCGTTATGGCGGCAGAAGTGATCGGGACAGGTAATAAAAAAACCCTTTTTCTTTTTTTCTTTCTTTTATTTTTATTTTTATTTTTATTTTTTGTAAAATGTTATTTACTTGCAAATGGTTGTTTGTATTGCTAGATATTCAAGCTACAGGAGATCCCCTAGGCGTTACAGGAGCCCACCTAGAGTAAGAACTCCTCCAAGGTCTGTTGTCTGCCTGCGTTTTTAGAAATTTCATTCCATGTATTACATTTCACGACTTTCAGCTTTGTTTCTTCATCACCACTTTAAAACCCTCGACTTGCCTTTCAATTAAGAGTGTGCTGTGTGTGTGGAGAGAACTGCATTTTATGGCTGGCCGGTTGAGCCACCTGAATTGATCTTCTTCTTTCTGGTTTAAGTAGCTGATATTATAATGGAGGTTCCGTGTCCCTGTAGGGCAGGCCTGAGATTGATACCTTTTTGATACACACTTGAACATGTAGCTGTTGTTTGCCCAGGGTTATTGATTTGACCTGGAATTTGGGTAACCCATTCCGTCCAGCCCTTGCTAGGATGTATATGGATGCTTTCAAGTCTGGTTAGGTATGGGATAAAGACTAGGATCCCAGTGTGGGTTTGGAGCAGGTTTTGGAGCAAACTGAAATCACCTGCCCAACCCCGATAGCATTGGAATAGTAGAAAAACATTAGTCACACATGGTTTATGAGTGAAAATGTAAGCCTTTTGCTCTCCTATTAAAGGGGTGACGTTCTCTTGCATGTGTAAGGTTTTCAAATGAACAAAGTCTTTTTGGTGTTTAAATGCCAGCCTGCCTGATTTTTTTCACAATTTGGAAAGATCTGTGAACCGATGGGATATGGGATTCCTGTGACATCTACATGTTTGTCGCACATTGCTGGGTAGTTATACCAAGGAAAAACCTTTGTACTCGCAACAGAAAGATTGCAGTAGTGTAAATCAGACACATGATTTGTTTTTATATTGAAAGTTGAAAATTATTGATAGACTCGAGAAGTTCTTTAAAAATTGAATAAAACAAGGGAGTGGATAAGGATCATTGTTAGCACCTGTTGGGTCTCAAGTAGCACACACATGGATTTGAGACATGGACTGAATACAACACAGATACACCGATATGTCGGCATGTCAAATTTAAAGGAGTAAAACACAGACCTGGCGTGGACACTACAGTATGTAAATTGAATGTTAATATGTATAATATTAATCCGCACCATCAGCTATTCTTGCCTGCCTTTACCCATACGTGTGAGGTCAGCCACCCCCTTTTTTTTTCATTCATTCTATTACATCACATATCATGTTTTCTAATTTTATTTTTTTTAAAATACCACTCTCTGCACCCGAACGCACCAGATCTGAGCCCTTCTTCAGCACTAGACTCACTTAACATATTATATATATATATATATATATATATTTTAATGATTTCCTCCCAGGTGAGTTTTGGTTGGATTATTTCTCTTATCTCCTATGCAAACAAATCTTTCTTTTCTTATTAGTCCATCTACAGGTCTAAGTTGTATACAACCACACTCTCTTATTTTGTCACTAATAGGTGCTGCTTTTGGTCTTACGTCACATGATTAAATCCTAGGTGTTCTAGTCACTCCTATAATCCATCTTAGCATTCTCATTTCAACTAGGCTGTTCTTGCTTATTTTTAATCCCCAACAGTTTGCTCCATAAAATATTGCTTGCCTAATAACCATTTTTCTAAAATATTTCTTTTAATTTTTTCAGTATTCGTATGGCACATATGTAGGATACAACTTGCGTGACTGCATATTGTCCAAGCTGCTTCAATCCTACTTATTACATTGTGATGCATCTGTTGGTCTCTTTGTATTATTGACCCCTAATGTTATTTTATAAACTTACATTCCGATACCATTTATTCTGTTTAGACTTTAATAGTTTTTAGGCTTTTTGCTTCTAGAGTACTCCTCCGTGTTTCTAATTTTGTTGCTAGAGCTTCCTTTTAGCAGTTTCTAATAGTCGGCAAACAAGAAGTTTCTAATAGTTGGCAAACGAGATACATCATAGAATGTATTCTTTGATGTCCTTTTTTATTTCATCTAAAACTACTGTAAATAGATATGGATGATCCCAGAAGACATTCCATCTATTGAAAAGGACTAAAATATCTTTGATTAATATTTAATTATTCTTCTCAGAGTTGCATGATATAGAAGGTTGAGCTATATGAATTCCGTAAATACTATTATTATATTTTATATGCTAGTGCTCTCCAATTTTGTCATTTCAATTCTATTTTTTCCAATGTGGAAAATATTATTGCCCTTCTCGGATCCATGTCCAAGTATGCGTGGGTGTGTATTTTTCCTCTTTTTTTATATTTATCAAATAAATAAATAAATAAAATTGTGATTTTTTTGTTTTTTTTTTATTTTTTTTATTTTAATATTTTGTGTTATATATATATATATATTTTGTGTGTGTGTTCTTTATAAAACAAGTTCGTGTTTTTTTTTATAAAAAAATTTCGTGTGTTTCATACATACTCACTTTCTATTATGGCTAGTCATCCCAAATAAACTCCTTAGCAAAGATAAGCCAGCTATGAAACACTTGATGCAACAAAATGTTTGTCTTATGCCTTCTTGCAGCAGCCGAAAACCACAATCACCTCTTTCACGAATGCCATTGTTCCCCTGTTCTTTGGAACTCTATGCGAGCCAAGTGTGGCTTCTACACTAACCCTAACAAGAAAGATGATTTTCTTCATTGGTCTTCGTAAAATTAGAAACAAAAATTGAAATACAGCAGAATCCCAACATGGAAACTCACCCTTGCAAGTTTATTTGGAATGTAAGGAATTCCAGAATTTTTTTTTTTAAAAACAAATTAAAAAAATATCCTCTCCTCCTCTGGAAACCCTAAATTCCATCGACTTGGTTTGACTGCTGCTATTCTGTATCAGACTTTGCAAATGCCCCTTTGCTGAGACCAGTGTGAAAGAATGGAACCTCTCCAGTCCTTTGATTCCGTGGAGAACTTTTTCTCCTTCAGTTAACTGCTCTGTCTTGCAGTGAGGGCCCCAGATGACTTCTGGTTGATGTTCCTGGCTAAGTTTACTTTTAGTAGTTAGTTGGTTTTGGGTTGGTCTGGCCCCTGGTTTGGTGGATTTCTTTTCCTCTTGCTTGCCCTTCTGGGCCTCTGGCCATTTTTTGTAGGCCCATGGGGCTAATTGTATATTGTTTTTTTCCTTTAATCTTATTTACTGAAAAAAAATGGTAATATATGCATATCTAATATATATTTGTACTTTTAATGGACCTTTCAGTTTCTGATGATGGTTATGTTGATTTGCCAACAAGGTTCATAAGTTTTAGATTGTTTTAATTGGGTTTGTTAATATGCTTGTTCATTCATGTTTCAACATGTTCTCTCTCTCTCTCTCTCTCTCTTTTTTTTTTTTAAAAATTTTAATCTTTAGACCTTTCTTTCAGTTCTGATGATGGTTATGATGATTTGCCAACAAGATTTATGCATCTTTAGATTGTTTTAATTGGGTTAAGCGACATCATAGTCGTCGGTGTTGTCATCATCACTACTCGTCTAGATTTCTTTGTTGCATTTTGTAATATTTTGTACAATGTTACACCTGTTTGCAGGTACAGAGGCCGGAGAAGCAGGAGTCGGAGCCCTACTTTATCACGAAGTCCAATCCGCAACCGTAATCGTCGTTATAGCCGCAGCCCTACTCGCAGCCGATCTCCTGTCGAGACATCTAGATTTCGTACCTCCCCCCGTGCAGAGAGGCGGAAGTCAGCTTCTCGCAGCAGGAGCCCATCAGAGTCCAGGTCCTCACTTGACTCACAATCACCCAAGCGAGCAAGCAAAGAGAAGTCAAGGTCATCCTCTGGAAGCCCCTCTGGGAAGAAAGGCCTGGTCTCTTATGGAGATGGATCTCCTGACTCAGGCCCGAGGTAGGAACGTAGGCATGATGATCATAAATGCTGTGTTTTCGTTGAGGTTGAGTTGATCTTGAAGATTCGAGAGGCTTGCGTTTATATCTATAAACTTCAATTAATATTTTTATAATTCCGTCACTAGTTGGCTAGATGCAATGTGCAGTTCCATGTCTGGGTTTCAACTTCGGTTAGGCTGTTGACGTGTTATGGTGATGGTGATGTACGTTGAATAATGGATGTTAGATGCATCAGCAGTATATGTTTATTCTTAACATAATGTGTGTTTTAGTTGGGATGTCTTTTTGATCTGAAGATATTTTAAGCGAGGATCATTACATTAGGATGCTTGGAATATGCTGGATTTTCTGGAAGCGATGAACTTGATGAAAACTGGCCATGTTATAAAAGAGTGAACTGTTTTATATGATCGAGTCAGTCCATTTGGTTTCCTTCAACTTTTTATCTATACATAATTGGCATGGTCATTTTGATGTTGAACTCAGTTTCAACTTGTAGCTTATGAATTTCTAGATTTGTTGTCTAGGTACTTTAATTGGTTATCACATGATTTCAATATATGTACTAGTGGAGTTATGCTTTATCTGGCATTTGGCCACTTGTTTTAAATTTGTATTAATCACCCCAAATCTTTTAAAAGGCAGTGGAAAGAAAATAATAATTATTTTTATATTATTTGTTTGAGTGCAAAAGTGAAATATTAAATAAATTGGTTTTGGTGTAAAATATTTACACGCGTGTATGATCTTTCATTTCTTTCTTTTTGTGAAATATAAATTCCTTCTCTCATTTGTCAAACAAACTTTTAGAAACAACTAAGACGAAAAATACACAGGTATTGAATTAGAAACAACTAAGACGAAAAACACCATCACAATGTAAAGCCTTTCCCATACTGAAATTTATAAACGAAGGGAAAAAATAGTATATGTTATATAAATATTAGGAAAATGAAATATAATATATTATGTAAAAAAATAATATATTACTTGTATAATCTCTCTTTGTGGTGCCGCCTGAATTTGTCTTTGCCATTGATGGTTATTCAATTAGAACTATGGTAATATCGACATAATGCTCCAAATATTCTGAAGGGAGAAAGAGACGACCAAATACATGTTAGTTTTTTCCAATGCTTACCACATTGAAACCATCTAAATTTTGTTCACAATTTGTACACTACTTCATATATGAGCTATCAGTTAAACTGTGTATAGCTAAGCATGTATCAGTAGCCTACAATGTGAAATTATTGTTACCACTTGGAATTCTGAAACCATGACTGCGGTTCGTCTCCGTGATACCATCATCCTGTGTCTTTCGGAAGCTGAGTCTGACTCCAATGAAGATCAACAGAAAGCTTTGCAGACTCTGGTTTTCATCACCAAGGTCAGCCCCCAAAACAGGAACTTACTCGCACAAACAGATGGTGCCATCCCTATCTTTCTCACCCTATCTAAGTCATCCTCCCCAGTCATCCAGACTCTCTCTCTATCCATCCTCTTTAACCTCTCCCTAAATCCCAACCTAAAGCAGTCTCTTGCAGATATGGAAACCATTGATCACCTCAACTCCATAATTCTCTCCCCGGCCTGTTTGGAGTCGAGCAAAGTAGCAGCTTCTTTGATCTGCAGCCTGGCAATGCTAGACAAGAACAAGGCCAGGTTTGGAGTAGGGGGCACCATTCAATCGCTGGTGAAGTCGGTATCTGGACCTCGCGGTCCTGCTGCCCATCACCTCCTTAGTTCTCTGGCCGAGCTCGTGCAGTTCCATGGGAACTGCACTGTGGCTGTCCGATCAGGAGCTGTTCAGGTGCTGATTGGAATAGTGGAGAGTAGTGATTGTGAAGATCTAGCCGGAACTTCTCTTGCCATACTGGGACTCCTTGCTAGGTTTGAAGAAGGATTAAATGGTCTGAGAAAGATTGATCAGATTGTGAATACAATGTTGGAAGTGTTGAGAGGGAGGTGCATGTTGAGCAAGGAAGGTGCCGCTGAAATACTTATTCGCCTGTTTGAAGAAAGCGAGGGATGTGTGAGAGATGCTTTGAGGCTGCCGGAGTTCTCCTCTGTGCTGGCTGATCTCTCTGTCAGAGGATCAGGAAGAGCTCGAGAGAAGTCCGGTTTGCTGATGAAGAAGATGATGGAGGCCGACTTGGATTCCTATGTTGATGGGAACCCCATGTTTTACCAATGGTAGTTTATGGTCTGGTTTGGCTTGAGTCCATCTAGGGCTGGAGTTAGACATGGCCCCATTGATTTTTTTTGTTATCTTTAAAATCAGTGATTGGATACGATTGTTAAGTTTCAGCATGATTTATATAAAAGGGCTAGCACCGAGACTCTTGCTAATGTAGGGTCTGGAGAGGATTAGATGTACGTGGCCTTACTTACTTCCGCATGTGACGAGACTATTTCCTAACTAGTTGAACAATTAGTTGATTTCAAATGTCAATGTGAGTGTTGAAATGCATTTTCGAACCATGAAAAAAGAATTTCTTGCACCAGCATGGAAATGCAAGTCCCAAGTGAATGGAAATAGTATTATCTCTTATTATGTGAAATATGAATATGGAATTCAATGGTCTGTGATGACAAGGGTTGTTGACAAGAGGGAGAAGGGTAGAGAAATGATAAACCAGAATAGGGAACTGAGATGTGTCCATTAAATAACCTTCTAATAACCAATTACAGCAAAACCAAATAGGGATATATATATATATATATAGTAGCTTTTTGTTTTTACTGTTATGTTGATTTCTTTCTTCATTGTTTAGGCTGATTCTACAAAGAGGCTTGGGCTGTTTATGTGTATTTAGTGGTTATACATAGCTATGAACCTTGTGTGATGACAACTCTACTTTTGCCTAGAAATTTCAAACTCTACTGGTCCGTTTGGCATAAGCTTTGTTTTAGACGTTTTGTTTTTAGTTAACAGAAACAGTGTTTTTGCTGTAGGAGTATTTTAGAAAAAAATCGGAAGTACGTTTGGGAACGATGTTTTATTATGAAAATGTCATAAACAGAAACAGAAACATGCACAGTTATGGTTGTGGGCCATGAACAGTTGTTAAAACAAAAAAAAAAAAAAAACATCTTTTTGGTGTTTTGATTTTGAGCCACTGTTCACGAAGTGTCTTGGCACTGTGTAAAATAAAATAAGGTTACACCAAACAATTTTTTTTTTTGCCAAAATTGATACTGTAGCAACCCAAAAGCAGAAACAGTAAAAACAAAACATATGCCAAACAAGGCCTAAATGGTCCCTCCATTCTTGACTATCATTGACAATGCCCCTCTTGGAGATCCCAAAATTTTCACTTGCTTCACGGGACCATATCACATAATTATAGTATTCTTTTTCTTTTCTTTTCTTTTTTTTTGTTTTGTTTTTGTTTTTGTTTTTTTTTTTTTAACTCACATGGGCATTCCTCAGAAATCATGTTAACCATAAGTTTCACATGAAGACCTCAAAACAGTGAAATTTCCCAGCATTGCTTAATAAAAGTTTTATAACTAAAAGGAAATGTCCACCTCTTGTCCTCGGATGATTGAGGGGAAAAAGCAAGGGGAGAAAGAAATTGTGGTCATGAATTGCAGCTATTAACAAAAGTTTATCACTCAAAGCAAAAAGTTTTATCACTGAAAGGAAATGTCAACCTCTTGTACTGGAATGATTGGGGAAAAAACAAGGGCGGAGAGGAATTTTTGGTCATGAATTGCAGCTATATTGGAAGTTAAAAGCAAACATGTGCACACCCATTATCCGTAATATGTCTCTAGTGGGATTCAAACTCTCTACCTCCTTTGAAAGAAGAGATCATATTATTAGACTATCAATTCCCATTTGTCAGCCTAATATTGACAAAATGAAATGATTCATGGGATCATCTTTGTGTATGCTGATAGGAGTGATACATGGGATTGATTTCATGATATATTTTCCCATCAATTAAATGGCGATGGTTACTATATTTAAAAAATATCAATAATCGAAGAAGATGTAACCAACAGGACTAATGTTGTGGGATGTAAAGCATGGTTTGAACAATGTAAAACTTTGGTGTCATTCTTGTCATTTATGTTCTGTTTTTCTTTGCTTAATTTGTGCCTTTTTTCACCTCACTCCAATAAAAATCTGTTGATCAGATTTGTATCGATTCTAATTATTAACACCTTTGCCTCAATCAAATCCTCAATCCAAGATTAATATATATATATATATATATATATATATATATTGGGCCTTAATGTTGGGAATTGTGTCACATATTTCTAATTGCATAAAGTTTCTATTTTAGAGTTGTTATTTTTATCTAAAATGTACTATAATTCGTTCATTAGGAACTTGACATTCTCCCAATAGGAGCCAAAAGGAGGTTTGGGGGTTGAGAGTGTGTAGGGGATGCTTGTGGCTACTAAAGAGTTTGTTTTGTGATAAACTGATATTATGGAAGTGAATTGGGCTCTTATACTTGCCAAAAATTAAAAATTAAAAATTAAAAATTACAAATCATTAGGTACGTAATTCAGGATGTGTGCTATCGACATATCATAAAAAGTCATGTAATTAAATATGTCAATTTTATAATTACACGACTTTTTATGATTGCCAAAAATTAAAAATTAAATATTACAAATCATTAAGTACGTAGTTCGGGATGTGTGCTCTCGACTGATCACAAAAAGTCATGTAATTAAATATGTCAATTTATAATTGCACGACTTTTTATGATTGGAAGGTATTTCATGATTCCGGACTATGTAAGAGAAGGCAAGCTTAGGCCTGACAAGGCCAATATGCGTTCATAAGAGCTCACGGCTTCGAGAAATTATTAGATGCTTTGGATCCATAAACACTTGGTGGATCAAGTCAATTCAGACTCTTCGATTGAGAAAATAGCCCCACAAGAGTGTATTAATACAATATATTACAAAGAAATTTCAATAACGGTCTGGATTTAACTGGTCCACTACGTGTCAAATGGATCTGGACCATTTAATAATTTCTCGAAATTTCTTTGTAATTTATTAATACACTATTGTGGGACTATTTTCTCAATCTGACCGTCTAAATTTAACTAGTCCACAAAATATCAATAACTATCTAATAATCTCTCCATGGCTTCACATAATGCTAATGTTTAATGTACCAAATTGTTAGTTGAGCTTCTTCTAGTAAGTGAATTGTATTTATATGCATAAGCCAGTCCTAAGTCACATAAAACGAAACGAGAGCGAGAGCGAATTCGAAAGCAGAAGCGTCAAAGCGGTGAAATTATGTCACAAATAGGAGCAATGTGAGCTAAAGCGCGCGCAGAGCGTGAAAGCGAGAGTACGCTCGAAACGTGAGAGCGACACTCGTTGAGGAAGATTGTGCGACTTAGAGCCAGTCTTGGCATATGTTGAAAATAATATAAGTTGTATTTGTAATTTTAAAGAGTGTTTAATCATTTAATTAAATGCCAAGATTACTCCTTTGAATAGTGCTGCTTCTACTTTAATCAACTCTTCCAGACATTATATACACATATATTATATACATATATATTTGTCAATATTCTTGGAGATGTTCTAATGATGATTTGCACAAGCTTCATCCAGCGGCTTACAAATTTCATATATGTAAATTAAAAGCAAGCATACAATATTTTATTTTTATTTTTATTTTTCTATTTGTGTGTGTGTGTGTGTATGATGGGTGCCGAAAGTTTACAGCGGTCTAGATTTTGGGTCGCTATGTGTGAATATAAATGTATGGATGAGTATGCTTGCCACAAATTGAGACCTAGAACAAAACTTTAAAGAAGGTTCTTTTCATATTTAATATATTAATAGAAATAGATAGTATTAAGCAACTCTGTATTGTACAATTTTTTATCAACTAACTTATAAAAAGGATTAGTTCTAGAGAGAAGAAAATATAATAACAAAAAAAATTTACAAGAAAAAGAAAAGATGTAGAAGAGTTGTTCAAACTTCAAAGTAAAGTTTATCATATTATGGTAGTTGGAGAGTGTACCCTTTAAATTCAAAATCTATTTTTTTTTAAATACACCCTCGGGGAAGAATTCAATATATATATATATATATATATATATATCATTATCGATAAGAGGAATAATCTTATCGTTACATTAAGATTTGTTTTCAATTTTACAATACAATCAAATACTACTTGAGTTATTGGTATCTCCTCAACCTTTTGAGACTGAAATCTTAATAAAACAAGTGGGGTGTATAACATTAGTGTTTATTTTCTACAAAAAAAATTATAAATTGTTTGACTATATTTCTTAAACAATGCGACAAAAAGCTTTATGAGAATCAGAATATATATATGCATACATATATTTTTTAAAATGTTTTTGGTACATCACAATCTTACCAATGATGAATTTTTTATTTTTTTATTTTAAAAAAAGGTATTTATTCTGCTTAGTTGGAAGGCAATGCTATCCCTCCACCAAAAGAATGAACAAAAATAAAATGAGGACAAAAATGCATGGATAAGGATTTTATTTTTATTTTTTATGAGTGAATCAACTTAAAAATCTATTCATGTCAAGCCAATCATATTAGAATATGAATATTCGTAATATTAATTACTCTTATCTTGAGTATTTTGTTTTTTAGTACAATGTCCACTAATAGAATAAGTATATATATTCCTTCGTCATCGGTTTTCTTTTCCATTTTTCAAAAGAAAGAAAGATCTACTCTAAGAAAATCTTCTTTAAATCAACCGAGCTCCTCTCTTAATTCTCAATTAGCATCATTAATATCAAGAAAAAGAAAATAGAATCAGTATATACTGATTTAGAAAAACTATAATGAGGCACTTAGTTTTTTTTTTTTTTTGAAAGATAACAATAGAAGAATTATATTGTCAAAATTTCGTATCAAAATTTATTTATAGTAAATCGTGTGTTTTAATTAATCAAAATTTTATACACTCTTTCTTTTTAAGTTCTGATCGTCCTAATTAAACCTCAAAATTTTTGAACAACATATCATTTGAGAACATGAAATACTCATAGTCTCAAAAAATGAACAACATCCCTCAATCATATCATTCATATCATATGTCATCATTCTTAAAGGTGCATATATATATATATATATATATATATATATGTATGTATATCTCTGTGTGTGTGTAATAATATTCTACTTAGTCTTGCGTATGAGCTCATTAATCTTTTCCTAATCTACCATTATGTGTAATGTTAGCTGGGTTAGTACTTAACAAGCTAGTGGGGAAGTTCTCCACTCCTATGTCACGTGACTCCCAACATAGCTAGACTAATATCCACATTAGCACAAAATGCAGTAATCGACTGGCATAATCTGGCACTCAATGATGAATTTGAATTAATTGAAACCTCGTGAAAGCCTTAAATTATCTTCGTAAAAGTAGATGTGATGGGAGAAATCATTTAAAAATTTCACAAATTGCCCGACATATTGCACAAAATCATCTAAATTTTATCAAGAATCTCGATTTCAACCGTTGTTAGTAAATAATATAATTCAAATTAAAGTGTTTAGACTCTTTGATTAAAGAATTGGCATCTAGATGTAGTACATAGTTTAGTGGTGTAATTAAGATCTTCAGGCAGACAAAGGAGTGTTCTTGTCCTACTACGTGTTTATTCGAGTGGTAGACTGGTAAACATTTTATAATATTAAATTAAAGATTTTAATAATGTAACTATGATTCTCCACTTATTTAGTGTGGGGTACGGAAAGAGTTGACAGATCAAAGTGATGTCACAAAGTTGTATGGACACAATTATTTTATTTTATGTTTAGCTTTTAAGTGAAAATTGATGATTCTTATAAAGTATAAGGAGGTGTTTTCACGGTCAATTTGTGAGTGTTTCGTATTTTCTCAACTTTTAAGAATGGGAATAAAACCATGTATAAAGAAGTTTGGAATATATTTAGTTTTTAACTTTAAAAATAATTTTCAGAAACTTAAAAAATACAAAATAATTTTTATAGAATTATAAAAAACTGTCATCTGAAAACATATTTTTTTATAACTGAATTTTCATAAAATAGTTTTCAAAAAACTAAATCAAGCAGAATTACTGTTATACAAATTTATTTTTAGAGAAATTCCCTTAGAATTTTAGGATTTCCCTATATTTTTTCTTATAAACAATATCACGTGGATAAAATGAAGGGTAAATTACATACTGGTAATCTTTTTAGTGTCTATTATTTTGGCATCTTTTGAGATTTGATGTGTGCTCAAGGATTACCCTTTAGCGTTTTCTTTTCATTAAACTTGTTGACAAAATTTTATAAAATGATAATTTTATTCTTTTTTTTTCGTATAAAATGTAATATAATTACATTATTATAATATAAAGACATTATTGACTTTTCACACTCAAAGTCACTTTTCGACCTTCCAACGAACGAATTTATGAAAAATAAAAGTAAAAAACAATAAACGTTCTACCTATGTATAATTTGTTCAAAACTCAAAAAAGATTAGTGTATTTGTTCCCAAGAAAAAAAGGATAGTGTGTATATCCTACTTAAAAATATTATTACTTTAAAAATTATGAATTTCACTACTATAAACTATCACTTTAAACGGTGAGCGTCATTATTTTTATCGAAAAGATAGAAGGTTCGTATTATATAAAGATACATAATTGTGCATGCACAAGTATAATAAGATAAGGGTGATTAGGAAAAACATTTGTGGTGTGACATTGGAGTCAAAAAAAAATCATTGCTTGGCACATTAATAAAAATGGAACCAATAGATGTGCTCAATGTCAACAAAATGACAACAAAGAGTAGGTGAAAATTTACATCACAATAATTGGTATAAAGTAAAACCAAGTAATGCACACTCAATCAAATGATATACTTAAAATGAAGCACTTTAATTCACGACAAGAAGTCATGGCTTGACCAGTTAATCTGTCTTGTGAACACTAAAACCAAAAGTTAGGGTTCACACTTCACATCCATAACAAAAGTTGCTGGAATTTGAAGAAGACGACAAATTTGAAAATCCCATTATTCTTTTTTTTCATAATTCATACCCTTCAAAACAAAACATCTCTTGTTCCCTTGTCACACATTACTTTATAGTGTTAAATAACAAAAATACCCTTTCATATTTTTTATTCTTTAACCTATATATTCACATTTTTTAATTTTTTTGTCTTTTTTCTCCAACTGGCTCATGTCTATCAAACTAGTATCTATCCATGCTGTGATAATATGACAACTATGTGGTGCAATGCGAAGTGTGTTATTCTTGGATCAATCCATGTCAAGTGACAAAACAAATTAATGAGAAAAATAAAATAAAATGAACATGAATATTGTTTCATAGTGATGTTGGTCAATTAGCATCATAAATTCTTCTTTGTAAATATTCTTTTATCTACATAGCACGAGTGTTACATGCTTGAAAATGATGGCTGCATTTAAATAATTTTCCATTAATATTTTTTTTTTCTTTTTTCTATGGAATCATAGAACATACTTTCAAGGAATGTTGAAAATGAATGTTATTTTGAATATAAAGAGACGAGTCAGATCAAAACGAACCTAGAATGGTACTTTTAGAAATAATTTTATAAAAATTAAATATAATAGAACAAATAACTTGTAACAGAAAAATAATAATAAATAATAAAAATAATAATAATAACTGGATTTTTTTATAAATTTGAATGGGATCCTAGGTTTATTACGAAGAAAGCTATATATATATATATATATTTTAAACGAATTTAGTGGTGCTTTGTGGAAAGATACTCCTATCGCATCGCCCACTAGTGGTGGTAGTCAGCATTCTAATAGCTAGGTTAGTCATGTCTTGGGTAGATTTAAACTGAATACCGATAATGCCTATCATAAGTTAACTAGTTATAATGGAGAAGGTTTGGTGCTCCATAATCGTCATGGAAGAGCTGTCAAGTGGCGCTACAGTGTTTCATTGAGACATCGCAGAGGTTGAAGAGGCTTTAGTGCTCTGGGATGATATGGAACTTCTTGGTCAGTGGAGGTATTCAATTGTGCATATTGAGTGTGACAATTAGTGGTTAGCCTCACTTATCATCATTCAAGATATTAAGTGGTAGTCAGCATTCTAATAGCTAAGTTAGTCTTGCTCTGGGTAGATTTAAACTGAATACCGATGCTACCTTTCATAAGATAACTGGTTATAGTAGAGAATGTTTGGTGCTTCGTAATCATCATGAAAAAAGTTAAGATGGTTACACTGTTTCATCAAGACGTCAGCAACGCAGAGGTTGGAAAGGCTTTAGTGGTTAGTGGGGGCATTCAACTGTGCATGTTGAGTGTGATTACTATTCAGTAGTTAGCCTCACTCTTTATCATTCAAGATATTCAGTTTTTGATTGATTAAAAACCGGCGTTTAAGTTGATTTGGTGCCAAAGATTATGTAACAGAGTTGCACATAAGATGGTTAAATGGGCTATAAGACAAATGATACGTGATTTGTAATAGCATTCGTGGCTGTTGAAAATAATTCATGGGGATCTTCCTTCTATTTTTTTTTGCCTTATATCTTTATATTGTGAAATGACAAAAATACCCTTCCACCTTATCATATTTTAGCCCATGGATTAACCTATTACCTTTAGCTTTTCTCTTCAATGGATGGTGTGTTTTTTATTTTCAATGTATGTTGTCATAACATGATACAACTTGGTGCACTGAAGCGCATCTTCGTAACAAAAATAATTAATGAAAAAATGAAACGAAAAATTAAACATTTTCACCTTATAAAGAATTTCTTTAGTTTATGTCTTCACTTAGTTTCCTTCATCTTTTCTTTTCGAACGTTGATGCATGTAGTCGTGATATGGCCACTTGTAGTGCAATACCAAGTGATATTCTTATCATTAACACTTGTTCGATTGATAGACCCTTCGCGATAAAAGATATTAAAAAAACAAAAAAAAATGGAATGAGCATATATGTTCTTCGCCATAAACAATTTTAAAAAATAAAATAAAAATGGAATGAGCATATATGTCTCAAGTGCAATGTTAGTGACATAGGACAATTAACATCATAGATTCTTGACATGGACAAATTGAAAGTTATAGGCCCCATGTAAATATTCTTTCATTCAAATGAGCAAAACGACATAATAAGAATGTCACATGCTCAAATATGATTATCACATTATCTAAAATTCTTTCTTAATTTCATATATGAATAATGCATGAATGTATGTTTTTTTCAGGAATATCCGTAGCACAAGGCACATTTTTGGAGGGTAAAATGGGAATTCGATCATTAGTTTGTAAAACTACATTATCCTATTTTCACATAGTACTTTTAAATTGGCCTTACTCAATTAATAATGTTAAACCACAAATAGAGTTAAAACTTATTTAATTTATCACTCAGAAAAAGTCCTATATATTTAAAAAAACAGATTTGAAATATTTATGAAAGACAATTATGTGAAAATATGAATTTTTTTAAAATATGTCAACCAAATTTAGAGCATGTTCGTCATTTTTTTTATTTATATTTCAAGATTTGTATACCTTTTTTGGTTTAACTTTATGTCTCTGTACTGCCTTTTTGGCTTGGTCTTTGAGCCTTTGAATGATAATAATTAAAAAAAAAAGAAAAAGAAAAGTTCATACTCCCAATTTTAGTTTAAACGTAGTAATATCTTCAACTATGAAGGGCATTTTCGTCACATAATAACAGTTGTAAGAAAATGACCAATTTTGGACTTTCAAACTTCGTTGTATTCTCTAGGGACCAGCCTGAAGTCTGAACAAAGAAAACGAAGTGGAGAGAGAAAAGTCGAAAGGAGGGAGAGAGAGAGTGAGAGAGAGGAAAGTGAAAAAGGCCACATGCTTTTGGATTTGTTTCAACTCTAGAACCCTAAGTCCAGGTTGGTGAAAAAAGCTAAAACCCCACTTCTCTTTCTCACCTCTAAATTCAATACTATTATTTCCATATACATCAGATCTTTATTACATCTGCAAGTTGATTTAAACTTGTTTTTACTCCATTTATCATGTAAAGTTTGAAACTTTGAGATTTTGTGGTTAATGGGTACCCATCAATCATATAATATATATATTTATATATTAAATTAAGCAGAAATATGTGTGTAGAAATTAGGCAGAAATTACACATGGATATATTTGTATATTGGGTTTGAAAATGTCTCTTCTTTTTACTGGTTTTTTTACTGGTCTTGGTGAGATTCTTGGGTAGTTGTAGTTGAAGTTGGAATGCTTTACTTTGGTCACTGTCCATAAGCATATATTCTCTCCATATGCTTTGCAAAACCAGTGACTATCTGGGTAGGGTGGCTCATGTCTCATTTACATTGATGTGCTTTGATCTATTGTGGATTCTTTGCTCATAAAGAGTTATTGCTTTTTCTTTCTTTTTGGTCTTTTTTTATCTCTCATTTTCTTGTGTGTGTCTCTTTCTGATTAACTTTTTGGTAGTTTCATGCATAAGTAGTTGATTTGAATCTCCCAAAATGGGTATAAATAGATATGCTCAATTGGATGTTATTCATTGCAGGAGCTCATCTTAATCATTGCAACTAGAGGTCAGCATAGTGTAATTATTCGGGCAAGAAATGAGCTTCAATAGCTCTAGTGTAGGTTCTGGTTAGTCTTCTTCCTGTTCCTGCGTCTCCTTTAAATTGGTATATATGAAATGTGAATGTGTGTCGATTCATAGTAACACTCCGGTTCTTGTTAGTTAGCTCACCATTTGACCTAATGAATTGTATTTTGGGCCTTGTGACTGCAATGTCTCAGGTAGTAGAACTTCTACAAGGACATTTGAATTTGGAAGGACCCATGTGGTCAGGCCCAAAGGGAAACACCAAGCCACCATAGTTTGGTTACATGGCCTTGGTGATAAGGGCTCAAGGTAATAACGCTTATCCTTCATTGGCATTGTACTCTCTGTTATTAAAAATTGTTGGGCTATAAATTAAAGTGGTGCTTTAAGATGATCTTATGTTTGTTGAACTGGAAGTCATAATTGAATTTGTTTTTTAAGCCATAAATAGTTATATACAAAGCGAAAGTATCATGATTTGGCTTACATATGCTTTTCATTGATGTTCTTGATACAGAATTTGTGAGAAGGGACTGTGTACTCGATTGTGGGGGTGTTAATAATTAGCATCATTGTATATGTTTCCTTCTTTATAAGCAACATATAGCAGAATCAGATTCCTTTTCCTTTATTATTAAAACAGGCCTCCTATTATTGTGTGAAAATTCAATAATGGGAGGAAGGGTGTAAGAGAATGTCAATATTTTGCCCTGTTCTCATGGAGCAGTTTGATGTTAATTAATTCTTGAATTCTAGCCTTTTCTAGAAGATTATCATTTTAAATGATTTGATGGTAGAGAGCGATGGTACCATGAAATGTATATAACATGTTTAGTTGTCGTTTTCTTCTATCTCCCTTCCTGATTCTGAGGTATGTTGGGGCAGCCGCGAGTCTGAAAACTATATATGTCATAGGGGACCACTTGTTCACTACCTTGATTGACCTTTCAACTGGGGAAACAAAAAATAATACTAGGTTATGTAAATGGTATTCATTTTTCTAAAATATAATGAAGCTTTTATATTAAAACTGAGGTTTAATTTGATCTTGCTATGTACTATCTGGACATTTATATAGTGTAATTTTGTTTGTTTCCACTGTTATTTCTAAATCATGGTCTCAACTTTGAGGGTGGTCCCTAAGCTAGATAGAATAACATGGAAAAAGTGGGTGTTTTTAAGTCATATTATAAAGGTCTTCAAATTTCTTGTGGAGTGCTGACTACACTATTGGGTTCTCAATTTCGATAATTTAGCATCTTCCCCACTTGATTGTGTAATTAAAAGGTAGCCATAGATATTAAATTTGACATCCTTGTTCTTTAATTGGCTTTGCAGCTGGTCCCAGCTCTTGGAGACCCTTCCTCTTCCAAATGTAAGGGATTAGTATATAGTGTTAAGTCATTTAATATCTTCTATATGCATTCAGATGCAACATGCAGTTCTCGTTTCCTACTCCAAGTTGTTGCGTTATTGCTGATTCTGCCATCTCTTTCTACTAATTCCATGATGCAGATTAAGTGGATTTGCCCAACTGCTCCTACACGGCCAGTAGCTATATTTGGTGGATTCCCTTGCACTGCTTGTGAGATTTTATTGCCTTGGAAGCTTGCTTTATTTTCTTTGGTTCAAAACCACCTTAACATAAGAAGCTATTGGGTGTTAATGTCTTGTCTCAACAATTTGATATAACAGTGCATGTTTTTCCTGCTATTAATATATGAATAAAATTCTACTTCAATATCAGGGTTTGATGTGGGTGATATTTCAGAAGATGCTCCTGATGATTTGGAAGGGCTAGATGCTTCAGCAGCACATGTTGCAAATCTTTTGTCAACAGAGCCTGCTGATAGTAAGTTTCCCCTTCGTAGCTTCCAGAACACACTCATGCACACATATGCATGATAAAGCAGTTCATCATAAGATATGAGTAAATTGCTTCATGAGAAAGAAAGAGGAAACCAAACAGTTTTGAGGATATTTGGGAGCTTTGTCGAGTGTTTCTGCAACTTCTAAGTTTCTTTCTAAAATAAGGTCAAAATCGTTCCATTTATCTATCTAAACTCCTGAAAGAAGTTTCGGTTTTCCATGTTGCTGTCGTTATTTAACTAACAGTGGTGAGCCATGCTCCTGGTTTCTGCAAAAAGTCTCATTTTGGTTTTATTCATGTTTCATTTACTCAATTTTACCCAATACTATGTTTCGCAACAGGTGAAGGCATCCCTCTATGGCTTTTAGATTTTCTATTCTACCAATAAGTCTGATCTATGCCCTTATGGAAGTGGATTCATATTAGGTTTGGGACCCGTTTGAGCTAAACTGATTATTATATATACATAAGAAGGTACTGAACTTAAAAATCATCCTCAAAAGAGGCCATCTCCATCTATGGATTCCGGAGAAAGATTGGTAGATGCATGATTGGTATCAAGATAAGGCATGACTTGCCCTGGAGACTCGCCCTAGCTTAGCATCATCTATATATTTTGGTATTGTGGACCTATAGACTGTGTTGTCCATGGAAATTTCGTAAGTTTATTGCATTTACATTGAATTTGAACTAGCTTCCGTTTTTTCATATTGATATTGTTGGTTAAACGCAATAAAGATTTTGGATGAGAAAAGAACTGCAAGCACACTACATAGGAAGAAAAGGATGTTACAAATGCAGAAAAAGCCCCATTCTTTGTGAGCTTATTAGACTTAGATTAGTCTTTTTGGTTCTCAGTGGTTACTGGTTGCTATAACAAGGGCTCTTTAAGATTCTGATAGAAGATCTCTCTCAATATGTTTTTTAGTTGTTACTTTGGTGACTTCTCCATATCACGTCTGTGTGTTGAATCCTAAAATTATATGGGTTAATTTCACCTACACCCCTTGACGTTTGCCTATATTTCACTTACACCCCCTCTACGTTTTAATATTCCAACTACCTCCCTTAAGGTTTTGGTTTATGTAGCAAATTACCCCCTGCCGTTAAGCAATTAACGGTGTTAGCATGAACAAATCGGTACAAGGTCAATTTTGCCCTTCCAAAACTTGAAATGACATTTTTAACCTCATTGACCAATGCAAATTTACAAAATCACCCTTAACTGATTATTGCTTAAACCTCTCTTCGATTCTTCTGTTGGTGGCAGTACTGTTCGGCGGGGATGAAATGTCCGGCTAGCCCATCGCCGTTCAGCCTCAAGCAGCCCATCTCCGCGAGTCAACCATGGGCGAACTAGCCCATCGCCGTTCAGCCCACCTTGCTCGCCGGTCCTGTCCACCATCCGAGCTCGTCCCCGCTGCCGTTGCTTCATCTGAACCGCCGCCGAGTCATCCATGGCCGAACCAGCCCGCCGATTTTCGATTTGATCCCTTAACCCCATCCCGGAAGAAATTCATTTGTACTTTGAGAAAGCATTGGCAGAAAGATTTGATAGGTTTTGTCGTCCACAATGACACCTGTGCCCCATTGTTCCAATTTGACACCAATCATCATGTCAGTATTACACCAAGAATTGACAAGCAAGTATAGGAATGTTTTAAAGCATGAGATTATACCCCAGTAAGTCCATTAGCTAGAAAGCACAGTCAGCTCGGAAACCCAAGCTTTAGGAATTCAAATATCCCTTTCGCCCTATTGAGTTGAGCGAAGTGACCCAGAAATTCATCACCGTCGGCATCTTCCTTGCTCACCACCGGCGATTCCAACAAACGGTGGTAGGAGGAGCTCATTTCTTCTTTATTCCACTCTCAGTTTCTTGAGTTTTCTCTTCTGGGTTTTTATTTTCTTTCTCTAAGCTCTAAATTTCATTTATTTTAGTTGTTTTTCTTTCTGGGTTGCTTCTCTTTTTCTTCTAGGCTTCTAATTTTAGTGAAGAACCTCTCACCAGTTTTGAATTAAAAACACTAATAAATTATTGAGTCACGGACTCACGGCTTACTGGTGATACATACATGCATGCATATATATATGGGTCAGGGTGGTGTTGTTTCAGGAGGAAGAATGAAGGGCAATGAAACAATATATATATATATATATATATATATATATATATATATATATATATATATATATTTCCTTATTATGTTAAGAGGTAGTGGCTATCTTTGTATAAGTATTATCCATAAGTAAATGTTGGTAAACTTGTGTTTGTGTGTAGAGAGAGAGAGAAATGTGTTTGTGAGTAGAGAGAGAGAAATTGAGGGTGTTTATGTCTTTTTATTTAAGTTATAAATTTTAATATATAATTTATGGGTAGAAAAGTAAAATCACACATTTCTGTTAGGAAATTAGACGGTGGTTATTAACAGGGGGTGTAGGTGAAATTATGAAACGTAGAAGGGGTGTAAGTGGAATATAGGCAAACGTCAGGGGGTGTAAGTGGAATTAACCCTAATTATATTTAAACAGTATAAATTGGTTCATATTTAATCAGATGTCCCAACCCTCATAGATTAAATTCGTGATTGGTTAATATCCTAATCATCATCACCCTTGCATAAGCTTTGTCGCTTACCTTCTAAACCAACAACTCTTCCTCTTTTAATAGGTGCATCATCGGGGCTACGTTGAATATGATCATACCACCTAAATCTACTTTCCCTAATTTTATCATTTATAGATGCTACACCTAATGTTCCCCTCACATGTTCATTATTTATCTTATCTCTTCTATTGATTCCTATCATCCAATGTAACATCCTCATTTCCGCTACATGAATGTGTTGTATTTGTGTCTTTTTCAATGCCCACACATACAATATTACCGGCCTAATAATCGTTCTGTAGATTTTTCCTTTTAATTTATTTGGTATTTATTTGTCACAAAGGATACCACTAGCTTGCTTCTATTTTGTCCAAAAGGGCAAACCCAATGCAAGATGCTCCCACCATTGCAGGGTCTAGGGAGAGTTAGATGTACGCAGTCTTACCCCCACATACGTAGGGCGAGACTTGGTGCAACAGTAAGCAACATTGTTGAGACTTCAAACATAATAATTCATTCTCATGTATTGGTTGAGTGTGTACGCAACCTTGTTGAGACTTTAGACATAATAATTCTACAAAATCAAGATCCTCATATGGTTGTTAAAGTGTTACAACCAAATAATGAATTTTTCTGAATTGCTACCATCTGCTCCTCCTTTATTGATTCTTTCTTCTACGGTTTTCTAACTGGGGGAGTTATTATAAAGCAAATTAATAATTAGTTGCTTTTAAAGTTCTTCAACATGCATTCTTTTTTCCTTCTCTTACCATTCATTTTTTTCTTTCTTTCTTTCTTTCTTTTTTTTTTTTTTTTTAATTGTCCTTTTCTCTTCAATTGTGCACATATACATGTATGTGTGTGCGTGTGTAGATTGATAAGATTTTTCTCTTAGGAGTACTTTACTGTTCTCTCTTTTGACATACTCTAGCAATTTCCCCCTTTTCTCCATAATGTTTCTGGGATATCACTGACCTTATCAGCCGAAGTGGTCAACCTGTCATTGTTAGCAGAGAATATAAACTTGCTATTATAGTCCTCCATCAGTTGCCACAGTTTTAAGATTAAAAATAAAATGGAGGAGGGATAAATGGCAATTTCACCACAATAACAAGTTACCAACCTTGGGAATCAGTGATACATTAGGAACTTGGACTTTCTAACTTGTCTGTAGTTTATTTATTTATTGTTTTCTTATTTACATATCATGAACACCTGAGCACATCATGAATATGCAAACATGTTTTTAACATGCACAAGATGAACTAAGACTGTTGTGTTGTAAGGGTATTGCACCTGCTCCATAACATTGAAAAAATTGTCACTATTATACAGTCAAACTAGGCGTTGGGGGTTTCAGTATGGGTGCTGCAACAGCCCTCTATTCTGCTACAAGCCGTGTTTTGGGGCAATATGGGAATGGAAATCCATACCTGGTTAACCTAAGCGCAATCGTTGGTCTGAGTGGGTGGCTTCCTTGTTCAAGGTTTGGCTTCAGTCCTATGCACATTACACTCACCTATACATCAACCTACTTTTATGTGGCTAAGCATTTGATTCCACTCAGCAGCTATTTTTTGTTTGTTTTTCAGGACTTTGAAAAACCGAATAGAAAGATCACAAGAGGCTGCAAGGCGCGCAGCATCTTTGCCCATTTTGCTCTGCCATGGTTTAGGTATAATATATATCTATATATATATATATACACACACACACACACACATTTTACATGGTCTATTTCCTTTTTGGCATTTATTTGATTATTGCTTGAACATTTACTTCTAGCAGTAAATTCATGTAAAAGAGCCTGCAGGATATTCATTTATGAGTTCTATATCATCTTTTGACTTTTGACTCAAAATGTCTCCTTTCAGTTAGGCATGACTATAACAAGCTTTTGCTGGTTGTGTTCGATTGCTCTAAATACATATAAATCTATAAAAAAATCCTCAGCATGAAATTTTGAAATCTAATTGATGCTAGCATAATTGAGGCCATTACAATAACTCTAAAATATTATAAAAATGAATTCGCTGGTCACTTATTCTCCCATATCCGTGGTTATCTCATCTTAAGAGTAGAAATGACCAATTCAAAAAGCGTCACATAAAATTTTGCTTGCTCGCGTGCACCCACCCACTCACCTTCTAGGTGCCATCCCTCGAACAGTTGGACCCTTGTATGTTCTCGTTATGGATGTGTCTGACACATTTTGCCACACCTATCTCAACTTTCACGTTAAACCACATTCATCTTTGTGTATTTCGATTATGTGGAAGTTTTCTTAACATTCTAGTCCATATTATTTACTCAAGTGTTCTTCCTGATTCGTCCAGCCTCTCCGCGTAGATCACCTATACGAGAGAAAAATTATAATGCCTACATATTTTGAAACTCAGTCTAATCACCCTGTATGACAGAATAAAATGCCACTAATATTTCTTAAAACTCAATTTAGGCTTGTTGCATTGGCTTCTGTTGGCACTTGGCACTCATGATCCGGAAAATGCTTTTGCTTTTAACCTCTTTTGATATGAACATTCAAATTTAACCTCTTATGTATTTTAGATCTTCAAGTTCAGTGACTATAGGCTATCAGATGCAAAGTTTTATATAAATACTGTGGCTCCGAACACCAAAAACTAAACAAAATTACAAAAATTACATAAAGAGATACAAAATCATGATATTCTAAGCTCTAAATCAGTGGCTAAATTCCAGCATTAATAAAACATATTCCACTGCTGATATAGTTGGAAAGGCTTCTCCTATTACGTTGTTGAATTACGATAATAGCCAGAGAGGACTCATCATACCAAACCGTGGTTGCCCCCCTTGAAGAAAGTTCCGACTCTGCCACTGCATATAGCGTGGAAAGCACTGCTCTAAGAAAGCCTGCTAGGGTTTGTTTACATTTTACGATTTGAAGGTTAGTGCAGTCTTTGTTAATGTCAGTTTGCTAAGCCCCCCAACCATTGGCGTTCTGACAATCATTGAAGGAGAGTTCACATTTGTAGGGGCACCACACTGCACTAGTAAGGTCTTGAATTATCTCACAATGTGAAGCATCAAGCCAAACTCTTACCTCTGTAACCAAGGCTTGCCTCTTTTAGGCTGCTGCTTCTAAAGCAAGAGATTCGCAAATGCTACATTAACAGAACTTGGGAAGCTCTTAGGTTATGATAGTTGGCTAAGTTGGCTTTTATGAATCATAACTTCCACATTTTGCACATTATGTCCGGTATGGGGCTCTTGGAATAGAAAGCTTTCGTTTGAAGAAAAGTAATTATTGTTTTTTCAGGCAGGCAAGGTCCATACCAAGTCACAAACCTGTGAAACTACAGTGTCTTATCCACTTAAAGGGGGAAACCAGGAGAAGCTTTTCTCCAGTGTTGCAGACAAGTGCACTAAAAGTGTTCTATTTTGTCTCACAAGTACAAAAGCGATTCATATCGTTGTAGTTTATGATTGTCCATATCTGAGAATGGGTCCTATTTGGATTTTGCAAGAAAATTAAGGAACATACACAAAATGCTTCCACCAGAGCACGAATCCATATTGTATACATGTAACAAGATGTTTCTGTCCCAAACATGATAGAAAAAAAAACTGCCAAAACCCTTGACGATAGACAAACAAAAAAATAACAGGCGAATTATATGAAACATTATCTAATCCAGTCATTTGCACTTTAATCTCTCATTGCATGCTTTTGTATTGCCAAGGAGGCCGATTTGCAGTGTTTCTGTTTTGTGCCTTACGACAACCATGAAATACAAGTTATACAATATAGTATCTAAACATGTAATCCATTTGTTGTTTTTCTTTTCCAGTTGATGAAGTAGTAGCATATAATCATGGAGAGAAATCTGCACAAACCTTGAGTTCAGCTGGATTCCGAAATCTAACATTTAGAAGCTATGATGGGTATGTAATTGCATTTTGGCTTTCATCAAGGACCGTTATATTAAGTTGTTCACAACAGAAATTTGTTGAATGTTTGGTGCTGTTATGCAGGCTTGGGCATTACACTGTTCCTGAAGAGACTCAGGAGGTTTGCAGTTGGCTCACTGCAATGTTGGGGCTCGAGGGGTCCCGGTCATAATTGTGGAAATAGTTGGTGAGGAAGCATGGGGGTATACACAAGAGGAAAAACATAAATATATCTCTAGGGAGTAGAGGGGCAACTTTAGATTAGGTGGTACCATGGGGTATATGGTATACTTGCATTGTTCAACCTATCTTTCAGTCTTGGTCTTGTCTTTCCTAAAATAAACTTGTTTGACTATGGGTCACTCCTATCTGGTTTTGTTATTAGAGAAATCTGTCTTTTTTCTTTTCCTTTTTCCCCATAAAAGGGTGGTGGCGTTGGGTTCTTAATTTTCCTTCTTTTGGGCGATGGTGTAACGGGAAATTAGCCACTTCGTTGGGAAATGGATGTACTTTGAGATGCATTTCTAAAGTGCTATATCTTGCTTGGTTCATTTCTTTTACCTACATTGTCACCATTGCATCTTTCAAGTAGGGCAAGACTTTTTTTTATTTTTACCTTGAAGCCAACTTGATTTGGGTGTTAATGGACCAAATGAAATCTAATTAGTGAAAGGGAAAAACGCTTCACAAGGTTAACTTGCAGAAAGGGCTGATAATTGGAATAATTACCTTAAATTCTAGCCTGCAATTTAGGCTTGAGTTCAAGCTCTGAATCATTGTGTCCAGGTTAAGCATGGGTTTCCCTCAGGCTCATAGCTCAGTAAAACATCATAGGCACCAGCTCTTTTTCTGAACCACCTCTGTTTCATCTGCTTGTAGGTTTAAAAAAAGAGTACACTTGGAGCAGCTAAAACGGTTTGTAACAGCTCCAGTATATGGACTAAAGATTAGATTGGTGAACACAATCCCACTCTACACGAGGGAAAAATATTTAATACCCCCGGGATAGAGGTTTTGTAATACCTCCGGGCAACGAAAATCCCATGGGTACTATTCCGACCCCGGGCCTTCAACGATCCCTCAGTGAAAATAACATTATTTTTTAACATTTTTTTATTTTTTATTATTTTTTATCTGAATGAACATACGAGTGACTTAAGGCAATCTAAGGCAGCAGATAAAATATATATAATAAACACATTAATTCATCTGTCCACACCATGCCAGGACTGTTTTTATTCATTCGAATGGAGCGTAAAACTTACACTGAGTGGTCCTTGAAGCAACTTTTTTCCATGTGAATGATAATCACATGCATCACCATTTGCAACTTATTTGCCAAATAACACAAGTGGGGCCAAAAAAGAGGCCGAAATGGGAGATATTAAAAAATATAAGCACCATAAACCTTTTCAGCCTGTGTTCAGAAATGAAAAAGAATTACTTATTTTTTGCCCTGATTAATAGGTGCAAATCTCATTTGTCCTTCCCTTTAACCACAAGGATAGAAACTTAAAATGAGTATACCAAAATATCATCCAATTGAAGAAGTAATGCCAAAGAATGAATAAAAAAGAGAACGGAAGAAAGGAGGCTACACGTGAACATGTAGTAGCAATATGGCAAGCTCTTTTCCATCATTGCGCACCACCCTTAGAAGACAGTGCCACTTGAATTCCTAGTTAATACAGTAAGCAATTAGTATACATATAAACAAATATGTGAAAAATTACAAAAAAAAAAAAAAAAAAAAAAAAAAAAAAAAAAAAAAAAAAAACGTTGTTACAATCTTAACCTGGCACGGCTGAGATTATTATGTGACAATGGCGCTGTGTGCCTAAGGATGAAAAGCCACCTGATATTTTTAGCGACCTGTGAGAATGATTTGAAGCAATTAACAAAAAGTATTAGCATGCAGATCAATAATAAAAAGTCTTACGACACACACACGTGAGGGAGGTAGGGTAATAATTATATTCACAAATGAAATGACAAGAAAAAAATTATGATAGCCACCTCAAATATTTTCAGTCGTTGCTGCCAAAATCTTGAGAATCATTTATATTCTGATTGGTGCCATCTTTGGCATCAATGCATGGGGTAAGAGGTGGGAAAGAAGGCACAGCCTGCAATATGAACTTGCGGCCGCTTCTCAAGCCTGCTGAAGAGCTAGACCCAAGCTCATGTAAGCGACTATGCGGAGGAGAAACTCGCTTCTTATTTGGGGAGCTTACTTTCACGGCATTGACGGGGGTATTAGTATCCTTCAGTATTTCAGGCATGTCATCTTCCAGTATGTCATAAAGCCTGTTGTCGGAATCAATCACCTGAAGAAATTTGGCTCCTTCAAACTGAGTAGTTGGGGTGATTGGTGAACTACGCCAACGAAGGGAACTCGCTGATGAGAAAGAGTCACTACCAAGACACGATTGGGCTCTTGAATCATTTGTCCAATCCCTTGTTTTTGACGATGTTGAAGCCGCCATGACCATTGAGTGTGCATCAGCCAGTGTAGCGGTATGACATATATTGGCAAGGCCATCACATCTTGGTGAGGTTTCTGCATTGTCATAATCCAATTCCTGATGACAAGAAATTACATCCAGAATGTCTCTCCTAGTTTTCAGGAGCATCTCGTGTTTATCAGAATTTCTAGGAGATCCCGGGGACTTTCCATAGGGTGGAACCAAGGCAAGATCAGATTCAGGTGATGGGATATATCCTCTAGAAAGAAATCTAGATTTTGATGCATCCTTTCCATGGCTAGATTGTAAAAACGTGAGCAATAAACATAAAGGAATTAGGTTAAAAATATCTAGTCAATTTATAATACATTGAAACATCCCTAGGAAAAGAATCTTACTCTGAGTACTGGAATGCTGGAGTTAGAGGTGTCAAGTAGTGAGGATTACACAGCTCAGTTTGCAACAAACCATTTCTGGTAGCCACCATTTCAAGATTCTCTTCAAATGTGCTTTCAAATCTTTCATGGATGGGTGGTCTGGTTACCACATCCTTAGTCATGCCAAATTCTGAGAAAGCAATTTCTTAGTAGAAAATCAAAGAGAATTCAGTACAAAAGGCTCAGCTTCGTTCAATAATAAATGTTCCACCAGAAAATATTTTTATATGAAAAAAAACAAACAGAACATTTCCCTTATTATTGTCCTTGTCGGATTTAAATTTTGAAAATATCTCATAAAGACACTTATACATGCCCCTAAGACCTGATGCAACATACATACGCTGAAATGTTACTAAAAGTAGCATACATTCATGATACAGACTCAACAACATATAAATTTAAATTTTATTTGCAAACATCCATCACATAAGACAACTACAGAATTTCATTTAATGTTTAAATTCTTATAATAAGAATTGCACAATAAGGAGAACGAAGATATGTAAATATCACAGATTTTTTATTTTATATGGTAGTACCACTCTCTTCTTACGTTTATGTAATTACAGATATATACTCATTTTATATTGAACTATGTTACCTACATTTGGGGTACGGGTATGTGACTGAGCGTCAATAAGTATCAGATCTCCAAATAGAAGGATACCGGGACACCATTAAACATTTAATATTTTTCTTGACAACTACAGGATTTCATTTAATGTTTAAATTCTTATAATAAGAATTGCATAATAAGGAGAACGAAGATATGTAAATCTCACAGATTTTTTATGTTATATGGTAGTACCACTCTCTTCTTACGTTTATGCAATTACAGATATATACTCATGTTATGTTGAACTATGTTACCTACATTTGGGGTATGTGCATCAAGTACGTGTATGTGGCTGAGCGTCAATAAGTATCAGATCTCCAAATAGAAGGATACCGGGACACCATTAAACATTTAATATTATTTAATATTTTTCTTTTATTTTCTAAATAAAATAACGTTTTGATGAAACAGAAAATTCAAAATGGGCATTTAAGTCATTTTAAAGCAATTATATAATAAAATTGAATTATTTAATATGCATTTTTAGCACATGCCCAACCAATCTCATACCCTTGTCCAACTGTTATGTGTCCAACGTGGGTATTTCAAGCACTATTGAAGAGTCCATGTAACATACTTGTTTCAAATATTAACAATGATTCATAGAATAATCTTGAATTTTATAACTTTCTGTCCACTTTAGTAATGATACGGGCACAACACTATCATCGTCGTCGGCGTCGTCATCCTCGCCTTACTCCCATATGAATGAGGTCGGCCACATGAATTCTCTATCTCCATTCCTTTCTGTTAGCATTTATAATACCACGATTTATGATATAACTTATCATAATAGCCGAGATATGATAGGCCCAAATCATGGGATGTGATTTACCATATTATCTGTGAGATATGATAGCCACAAATCATGTATTTAACTTATTTACGCATATGTCTAGGCATAGAATTTGCAATGATTTGATTTAGTTTCCTTTCTTGTAATATGAGCATGTGCTCATTTTATCTATAAATACTAGAGCTGTGAATGGGTAATTCATCTCATTCAAGCCTTTACGCAATTCTCTCTTTTCTCTTCTTTTTATATATTTCTATTTGGTATCAGAGCCAACACCTTTCCACACCTTTCAGCAGCCTTGCTACTTGTGCGACAGCTACCTTAGGCTGTTTGTGATATCGTGTGACGTTGCCTACACATGTTTTTCTGTGTTACTGTTTTGTGATCGAAAATAGGTATTTTTAAGTTTTACAATTTCTTTTTCACTCTTCTAGGGTTGGGTAAATTGGAATAGTTGGTTTCTAACACCTAGAAGGGCTTGGGTAAAAAAAATTAGTTTACAAAGAGGTTCCAAATATTAAGAAGGAGGCTGTCTGGCTTTATGTAAGCGGGTAGCGCTCCTTAAAAAAGGTATGTATTTGGATTTTTTGGGAATGGTTTGAGGAGACATTGTTTATGGTCTGAGGAGACCCTTTGATTTATTAACAGAATTTGTGGTGTTTTTGGAGTTCTTTTTATTGTCGTGTGACAGATTATGGCAGATTCAGGGTCCTCGACTGTTAATTCTCTTGGCTCACGTTCTGTGGGTGGTGGTGCCATTTTTCCCACCAACTCATCAGAAAATCCAGGACTTCAAATCACCACAGTGAAGTTGGATGGTTCCAACTATTTGATTTGGGCACAGTCTGCCAAGATGTGCATTGGTGGCAAAGGCAAGATTGGCTATATTACTGGTTCTGAGAAAAAGCCAGCTAAGTCAGAGAAGGCATATCCATAGTGGTTTGCAGATAACGCTATGGTTATGTCTTGGCTAGTCAATTCGATGCAACCAAACATAGTTGTTGGCTATATGTTTATGAAGACTGCTAAACAGATTTGGGATTCAGTTCAACGCACTTATTCTCAGAGGCAGAATAATGCACGAATTTTCCAGCTGGGCCGAGATATCACCAGGATTTCTCAGGGTGACTTGACAGTTTCAGGTTACATCGCCAAGCTTCGTGCTATTTGGGAGGAGATGTCATATTATGATTCCTTCCACTCTTGGAAGGATCCAGATGATGCAGTTTTATATGCATGAATTGTGGAGAAGAATCGAGTGTTTCAGTTTCTTGCCGGGTTAAACGACGAGTTTGAGTATGCTCGTGTTCATTTATTGGACTTATCTTCATTCCCTACTCTTGAGGATGCATATTCCTATGTGTTGTCAGATGAGAGCCACCGGACTCATCCATTAGGTGTTGCTTCTGTTGATCGTTCTGCTATGGCAGTTTGGATTCCCAACCTTTCAGGAACTTCACCATCCCAGTCAGTTCAGAGCACTACCACCGGTCCTCCTCTGGGACGACAACGTGGACGGTGTGACCATTGCGGAAAAATTGGTCACATCAAATCTCGTTGTTATGCTCTACATGGACGTCCACTGCAACAGAAACAACAGCCTCGATCCTCTGCACATTCTGTTACACAACCAGTCTCGTTATCAACTCCTGACAACCCTGCCTCTACATCTTCTGCCACAGTTACCTTGACTCAAGCTGATTTGGACAAGTTCAAGCAATTCTTCAACCAAATGAACGCATCATCTCAGCCAACCTCCACTAATGCCCACTCAGGTATTATTGCGTCTGCACATAGTGTATCTACATCTTCAACACCATGGATCATTGATTCTGGTGCTTCAGACAATATGACTGGTATGTCCTCACTCTTCCAATCTTATAGTATCTGCTCTGGCCAACGCAAGGTCCGCCTTGCGGATGGCTCTCCATCTTCCATTGCTGGGAAGGGTCACATATCAGTTACTCCTTCATTAACTTTGTCAAGTACACTTCATATTCTAAAGTTGACTACAAATCTTATTTCTGAGCGTTACCAAACAATTAAATTGTAGTGTAACGTTCTTTCCCTCTCATTGTATTTTTCAGGATCTGGTGTCGAAACGGACGATTGGCAGTGGGCGTGAAGTGGACGGTTCATACCTGTTGGATGCTCCTTTGTCACCGCAAGCACATTCAGCTTCATTTTCTAATATTGTTTCATCTAATAAAGCCCAGCTTAAGCGTTGGCACATGCGTTTAGGACATATTTCTTTTGGTTATTTGAAACATTTATTTCCTTTCTTATTTTGTAACGTGGCAGTGTCAGATTTATCCTGTGAAACATGTCATATGGCTAAACATGTTCGTTCCAATTATCCTGCTAGTAGTAATAAATCTGCTTTAACACCTTTTAATCTTGTTCGTTCAAATGTGTGGGGTCCTTGCCCAGTTACTTCTAGTCTTGGATTTCGATATTTCGTGTTGTTCATTGATGATCATAGTCGTGTTACTTGGGTTTATCTTATGAAAACCAAAAATGAGGTATACACCTTTTTTAAAAATTTTATGACAATGGTTCAGACTCAATTTGGTCGTACCATTAAAAAATTCCGATCTGACAAGGGTACAAAGTACACTTATGGGGAGGTACAACGATTATGTACAGAATTTGGGATTGCGCATCAGCTGGCTAATGTTAAAACTCCTCAACAGAATGGTCGTTCTGAGAGAAAGAATCGCCACATCCTTGACTTAGCCAGAGCAATCTGCATTTGCATGAATGTTCCCCAGTCATTTTGGGGAGATGCAGTTCTTACCGCTGTTTACATCATTAATAGGACTCCTTCTAGGATTCTTAACTTTGCAGCCCCACTCTCAATCTTACATCCCAATTCATTTCTATTTTTGATTCCTCCACGAGTCTTCTGGTGTGTGTGCTTTGTTCAGCAGTTGGGGCAAACTCGTACAAAGCTTGACCCCAAGGCTTTAAAGTGTGTGTTTTTGGGCTATTCTGACTCTCAAAAAGGTTATAGGTGTTACCGTCCTCCCCGTCATCGGCGGTTTATATCCATGGATGTTTCTTTCTTTGAGCATACACCATACTATAGTGGTTCAGTTGGTTCTCAAAGTGAATGGTTCCCATTGAATATAATGGATGATCACCTTCTTTCGTCTTCAACTCCTCTACCATTACCTGTTTCTTCTTCTATAATTCCTCCTCGTGATACCCCTCCGGCAGGGGGAATTGTTCCTTTTTCACAGGTTTATAATCGGAGACAACAGGTACAAGCTTCTACTCCCACGATCGACTGCCCTGTTCCTTCGGCACCAGCTCCGCCTTCTTAAGCTATTGTTTCGCTTGATGATCGCCCCATTGCTCTTCGAAAGGATAAACGTTCTTGTACTTACCCTATTTCTAATTTTGTTTCTGATTATGCTCTCTCACCCTCCTATCGGAGTTTTCTTGTTTCTATTGCCTCGGTTCCTGTTCCTTCCAGTGTTGCAGATGCGCTAGCACAACCTCAATGGCATGATGCTATGACAGAAGAACTACAAGCACTTGAGAAAAATCAGACTTGGGACATGGTTCCGCTTCCTATTGGACGAAAGGCTGTGGGTTGTCGTTGGGTGTTTACAGTCAAGCATAATCCAGATGGGTCAGTTGCTCGTTCAAGGCCCGATTGGTTGCCAAGGGTTATGCTCACACTTATGACATAGATTATCAAGAGACTTTT